GTATGTATGTATGTATGATATAATGATATATATATATATATAATGATATATTTAATGATATATATATAATGATGAATATACATATATATATATACACATGTAATATCCATATAGTTTTGTATATATATATATGTATGTATATATGTACATATATGTGTATATATATATGTATATATATATATGTATATATAAATACGTATATATATATATATGTATATATATGTATATATATGTATATATATATATGTATATATATATATGTATATGTATATATATATGTATATATATATATGTATCATATATATATATATATGTATATATATAAATATATATGTATGTATATATATATATGTGTATATGTATATATGTATCATATCCTCATATCCCAAACTATGTCAGGGCTGCCCCTCTCCTTCTTTATCGCCCGCTTTTGTTCTCCCAGCTCCGATACTGCCGGCCGTGGAGCTGTCCTTTCACCCGCAGATCTGCAAGCCAGGGAAACTGGAGGCAGGGAACGTTCCAGAGGGAAAGTGGTCCTAAAAAAATGGGTGAATTGGTGGTTTAACCATGAAAAATGGTGGTTTAACCACTAAAAAAGTGGGTTGATCATGGTTTATCCAAATCTTAACTTTTTGAAAAACGAAAGAAGATGGACAACTAATGTGAGATTTCTCAGGAGAGTGGTCTGAATTAATGGTGGCTTTTGCATCTCTCTCTCTCTCTACATACATACATAATATATATATACACACATACACAATTATTATTATTATGTATATACATATGATTTGTTCTGCAGGGATCATTTTTTTGCACCGAAAAAAAACACACCGCTGCACTTGCGTTTGACTCAAAAAAATTGATATCTCACAAAATTGCACTGTAAGACGCCAAGACCGCATTCGAAAAGATTTGTGGGTGGCAAAACATCATTCGTAATGTCAAGACAAATTGTGACACCCTAAAAACAACCTCACCATGAACGATGGTCTAAGACCTTCTCAGATCAGGCAACGTTTCATTCGTATTTTGTTGATAAACCCCAATCTTTCTTGTTTACCAAAGATCTTTGAATGGTTCTATCCCAACTCTACAAAGGATGTTTCACCGAAGCTGCTCAACCATTTCTTTGGGGTAAAGTCACCTTCAGGAATTTCCAGGTAACCTCCCCATTGTTTCTACAGTTCGATCATATTTGTTGATTTAGAACTGCATTGAAAAACTTATTTTTAAACTGGTAAGATCACATTTTTTTCCAGAATTTCCTCCTTCGCAGGAAACAAAATCATACCCCATAAACTATTAAGTATATTGCTTTCGGGTTGAAACAGTCACTGAAACATGTTAAAACCCAGGTTGTGGTCGATCAAGTCACCATGTTTGACTAGTGTTCCATTTTACATCAGCAATTACCATCTGGTTATGACTAACAGTTTGCCATGGAAAGATCCACCATTTTTAAGAACGGTAAAGCCAGTTGTTCACCATCTATTTCGATTAGGGCCATCGAAAAACCATGGCGAACTGTTAGTCATAACCAGAGGGTAAAAATTGGTTTTTATGTCTCTGATGGTTCCACCATGTGTTGATTCAATCTCCTATTCTTCTAGCTTACCCTCTGGGAAACGTTTACAGTACATAACTATGGAACAAATCACCTTGTAGCTCTGTCAATCCATTATTTCAATGGCCATTTTCTAAAAATTTGCAAACTGTTAGTTGACCATTACCAGAGGGTAAATAAACAGTTGGACCCCTGAAAATCACCCATGTTTCATGGAAACGAATCTTCCAAGTCCTATGACTGCCAGGGTCTATGTTAATTTACCAGAGGGTAACCACTATTAACCACTATTAACCAGTATTAACCACTATCAACCACTATTAACCACTATTAACCACTATTAACCACTATGGCTTCACCATTTTCGTTGCTTCGATCCCCCATGGCTTTCCCCATTGCCATGGCTTCCTTGAGGCGGGCTACTCGGAACACCTTCGGGAGCGCGTGGCGCAGAGTCGGCTCCTAGATGATGAGCTGAAGGCGAGGACTTCGACTTGGACTGGAAGAAACTGTTATGGATCATGGTGGTTATATAGTGTTTAATAGTGGTTAATAATGGTTAAAACCACCAACCAGATATCTATGGTAATATGATATTTCTATGGTTAATGATGGTTAATAGTGGTTAATAATGGTTAATGAGATATTTGATTGGTGGTTTGGAACCATGGAATTTTATGACTTTCCATATATAGGGAATTTCATCATCCCAGCTGACGAACTCATATTTTTCAGAGGGGTTGAAACCACCAACCACTTATCTATGGTGATATGATATTTCTATGGTAATTTCTGCGGGGAATAGATATCTGATATCTAGAGGAAATCCGATAGAAAGATCCGCTCTTCAAATCCTATTTCAACTGGTGAGCAGTGGTGAATAGATAGACTAACCAAGAAATGCCGACAAGCTGTATTGCATGTCTTGCATCTTTTTCTGTGTCGGTCTATGCAATCTAATCTATCTATTCAGCCATTTATGAGCACGTATAGTGTGATGTATTGTTACATATGTATATATATATATCCTGAAATAGTGGTACCCCTAAATTATCCGTTTTAATAAAATTGTCCATTTTTAAAACCATCCAGCTATTGGGGAATCTCCCATTTATGGAACCCCCCGTTAAGATTGCAACAACAGGTGGTATGCTGAATACCTTGGACCTGGAGGATTCAACCAAAAAGTTGGGGGCATCAATTTAGCAACCTTGATAGAAATGTGCTAAATGATTTGGATACCAATTAGAAATCATCCAATTTTATCCAATTTTCGGGGAAATTAGATGATTTTTCCATTTATTTGGGGAAATTTCTAACAGATGATACTGTAAAATTGGCGTCCCAAAAAGGCGGGGATTCATCGGGGATTGACCTATGATTTTGCCAGGAACTCCAAACGGTGGGATGATTTAACCATCAAAAAAATAGATTCAAGCCAGCAAAAAAATTGGGGATTTGATCAACAAAAAAAAACATATTTACCCAACAAAAAAACTGATCCAACCAATATAATTGGTGATATTTCAATATAGTTCATAGGATATCGTATGGCAGGGGGTAATTCATGGGTGTGGGATACTGGATAAGTTCAATTTCAATCGTGAGCACCCCATAGAATGTCATAGTTTTTTGACATTTCTGGTGTTTGTGTTTTGATGCATATGTTTTTGCTATATAACAACCTCCAAACAGATCGAACAGTTGGTTTTCACCTAGCAATTTGGGGAAAACATCGAAATTCCATCCTGGTGGCTTTTGTGGGGCTTAATTAATGGGGATGACCAATCATGGCCTCACTGCAGCGTTCCTGCATGGATGAACCTTGGATGACCGCTTGTTGAATCCTCTACCCTCTGGTAATTTAACGTAGCTATGGAAAATCACCATTTTTGATGGGAAAACTCACTATAAATGGCCATTTTCAATAGCTATGTTAAATTACCAGAGGGTATAATTTTTGCTACAGGAACAACAATAAAAATTGGCCATGGAGAAAACAACCTTAACAAACTTCTACCCAATCCAGTTCATATTCCCAATATATTAAAATGGATGATGAATATTCCCAATGGACATCAAAAATCATCTTCCCATAGCCTCTGGTAAACTAACATTTTGCTGTGGAAAATCACCATTTTGAATAGGTAATTCCACTATAAATGAGCTATTTTCAATAGCAAACTGTTAAATTACCAGAGGGTATATCAGGTTAATAGTGGATTTACCCATTGAAAATGGTGATTTCCCAATGGATATCAAAAATCATCTTCCCATAATATACCCTCTGGTAATTTGTTACATAGCTATTGAAAATGGCCAGTAAATTCCTGGTGCAGGCCGATTGCCTGGAGCGCTTGGTGGGCGTGGCGCAGCGCGCTCCCAGGGTGCGTCGCCTGTCCTGGTCGTTTCTCGGGCAAAAAAAAAACGTATGGGAGATGGGAAGATGGTGGGAAAACAGATGGGAAAATGGTGATTTAATGCTGATTTAATGGTGACTTAATGGAAATCTATATGGATTATATGGATTATATGTATGATTGATTATGATTGTATGGGATTTCATGCTGATTTTATGGACTATACGTTCAGGGTAAACTGATATAGATGTGTCAAACCAATGGGAAAATCCTAGGAACATGATCGAAAAAGTGCCGAATCTCCCAAGGCAACAGATTGCAGAAGAGGAGGTCCCCGAAAGCGACGAGGAGGCACCCCATGTTTTGTCGGAAGATGTCCAGGTGGGATTCCAATAAGGGGTTATGATGGATAGTAATAGGGATCAGAATGAATACGACATGATAATAATGGACACAACAGGATTATAGTGACTGTAACAGGATTGATGATTAGTTCAAATTTTTCATAGGAGTTTAACCATCAAGATATAGGGTGATTTAACCAGCAACAATGGTGATTTACACCAATGTCATAAACCATCCAATCCATATAAATTGACGGTTAAAAGTCCACCCATAAAGAATGGGAACGATCCTTTTGCTTTACTAGTGGGAAGGATTCAATGATCATTTTTGTTCGGAGTCTGGACGGAATCAAAAGTGGTGTTTGTGACAATTTTGTTGGTTAGTTAATTACATAATTATACAGAAATACGATGAAATACGGATAGCATAAGGATAATTTTATTGGGATATTTTTCAGCAGCAATTAACCACTCAGTTTCGTGGTTGGATACCTATGGATACCTGGAATTTGACACCATCATTTACTAAACGGTTTTAAGTTTTAAGTATCAAAACTGGTGATATACTTGGTAATGTGACAGGATGGCCATAACATCCATAGCCAATTGAATCATAAGGAAAGGCTTGCCCTGTCGATGGGTTTTTCGAAATAGGGAGGCTATTTTTGTGGCTTCTTGGGCCATAGGGATACTTATGAACCAGACCAGCCAGTATTTCATTAGGATAGGGGTATTTTCATGGCTCAGTTGCATTGATAAGGGTGACCAAAGGTGGAAAAACAGAAGCAGTTTTTGGATGTTTCTGGTGCTTTCCTCCTGTCAGCCTGTTTTCGACAGCACCGGCAACTTGGACAACTTCCGCCCGACTGAAAGGCAGCTTTCGACTCCATGTTCCAATCGACCATGTTGAGATCAAAAGGGAGCAGCAACAGAAGAACGCGACATCATTCACAGAAGGTGTCTCAACATTGCCTAAATACATGTTGAAGAAGACACGGACACAGACGTCAGCGGCCTGACATTCTCTTGCTCAAAAGGCCCAGACATATTTGAGTGTCTTAGATAAGTTTCTTGGCCCTTTTTTGTTGGGCTATATATCATAAAAAATCATAAAAAATCTGTATTAGATCCCACTCTGGAATCTATAAAGATGATCAATGATCCTCCCAAACTCCAATGAACAAATGGTGACCATGACGATCACCTGCATCCCACATGATTTTTTTCGGGGGTTCCAACTGTGCCATGTCGACCATGGCCTTCTTGCGTGCGACCGCGCAATGGCGGCGCGTCTCCGGCGTCTCTGGCGCGCGCGCGTCCGCTTCGGCGCGTCGCTGGAGCACGGGAGCGCGGATCTTGAAATCCGATGTGCCGGACATCATCTTCCACTTCGCGGTGGAGGAATATTTGAGGCTTGTTATGAAACTATGTTTTAGAGCTGGTTGGGACATAAAAATAGTGGTTAATAGTGGTTAATAATGCTTAATGACAATATCTGGTTGGTGGTTTGGAACATGAATTTTATTGTCCATTTCATATATGGGATGTCATCCCAACCCCATTGACGAACTCCTATTTTTCAAGATGGTTTTTGCACCACCAACCAGGATGTTTTGGGGCCGTGATTTGATGGTTCGAAGTTCGGAGGGTTATGACATGACACAAAACAAAAAATCATGACCTCAAGTCGTGACGTCACTGTGGTGACAGTGTATATTATATAGGGACATCATCCCCAAATGGCCTTATTATATTTATATCTTATTTGATTTTATATAATTATATATATATACGTGATATTATAAACATAAATCTTATTATATAAATCATGACGGTCATTCATATCATATTACATAAATCCGGATATGTGACCTTCTTCACAAAACTGATAGCCATGGACAATCGCCAAATAAAACTAATGGGTAAATCATCGAACTAAATGGGCCTTCTATACCGTAGCTATGTCACAAATTACCGGAGGGTTAAAAAAAACAAAAGGCCTACTTGGAAGTGCACATCCAGTTATAAGTGGACACAGTATAGTACCATAGTATACCATAGCTATATGGGTTATATCCCAACAAACATGGGGGTTTATAACCATGCTTATACCCACAAGTTAGTATAACCTCTGGCCGGCCTGGAGTAACCTTGCTTCCCCAAATCCAGTGGCTTTGTCCCATGGCATCTTTTGGATTCACTCCCCAGTTTCCTGTTTCTTGTCATGCAGCTCCTGTGAATTTTCAGTGTGTGAATCAATGGTTTTTGGTCCAGTGGTCATATTGATCCCATCACAAATGCGACCAATGTATGGTTTTTGTAAGCAAAATTTACCACCCAAGAATGACTCGGTGATGTAGGTAAATATGCCACCATATAGAGCCATATAGATATGTTCAGGGTTCCAAGATGTTTCCATCTATGTATTGAAGATCAAAAATGTTGTATCATAGGGTTCAACCACCCCCCCTTAAAGATGATCCCCCCAATAACATGGGCTTATTGGGGCTTCATTAAAGTTTTGCTACCACAGCAATAGCGTTTGCGTTTTCTTTGTTTTCTAAAATTTTGGCGGTTTTAAATCTATGACGGCTCATGAATGGTGACGTGCAGGGTTTCAACAGTGAACACGCTCAACGGGCTGTGCGGGGTGCTGATCCCCATTACATCCTTAAAAATATACCAATTATACACCCAATGGTCAATAGGAATTTTGACCCTAAAATGGAGGTACCATATAAAGATATAGAAAGCCATATTTCAGGGGCAAATCACCTTACATAGCCTTGACATAGACCTCTTATTCTGGTAGCTTCAACTTTTATCGGTACCTGAAATGGCCACTGATATCCCCATCTTGGCTGGCGAAAGTGGGAAGTCGCAGTGTCCGCAGCCCAGGATGAACTTCGCCAAAATCCGTGCGCCTCTGATGTATCTGTGGCGACCGCAGCCTGTGGTGACCATTGGACGACATCAAAATCCTTGGAAGGAGAGGTTTTTTTAGGCCTTCAAGCTTTGGGATGCACGAGCAATGTGAACCTATAGTGATTTATGATGATTTATGAATATAGTTATATTCAAAGTCAAAGTATATAGAACATGGACAACTGCTTCAATTTCAATTGATGTGTTGGTCATCTTCGATAACATTGGGAGTGTAGATACCGGTTTCGTGATCTCTGAATCAACCGTTTGGTGAACGGTAGGTGTTAGCGGCCCTATAGATGTTTCTTTCTAAAGGCTGGTGATTGCTACCACCTACTCTTCAAACACGGTGTAACAAAAATGAAGGGCGTCTGAGACTAGCAATGCAAGTCCGAAAGGCTACCCGCCAAACACGTGATTTTGTTATCATAATGCATTTAACTCGCAAAAACTGAAATTCAATTGTTTATGGTTAAACAGTTATGCCTCAATTATTGATCTTGAAAATATGCCGCATGGTGAATCCATATTTTGGTGGGTACATCATGTTCAAACCCAATTTCTCCGACTTGTTGCTCCGTCTCAGCAACTTAGCTAACGAGCTGAGGCACCAGCTTACAGGAAAGTGACTTACTTGGAGGATCATCCCACTCAGTGACTAGTTATATTTCATGGCTGGAGTTATAACCGCATGATCCAACAAGTATAAATCGTTTTTTTTTTGTATCCCATATAGGTTATATCAAGAACTATAGGGTTTATATAACATATATCACTCAGATATCACACACACATATCTATACTGGTTGGTGGTTTGGAACATGAATTTTATTTTTCCATATATTGGGAATTTCATCATCCCAACTGGACTTTCATATTTTTCAGAGGGGTAGGTATACCACCAACCAGCCATAATTAACCAATGATTAACCATCATTAACCACTATTAGCCACTATTAATATCAAATATCCCATCATAATGAACCATTATGAACCATGATTAATCATCATTAAGCATGATGAATCATCAATCACCAGTTTTCTGGGGGCTATCAACAACCATCACATTTCAAGGGACACCTTGTAGCCACCTCTGGAGCCCTTGCAGCGCGCCAGGAGTGTGTCCTTTCCCGCCTGGAGGAGGATGGCGTGGCGCTGGTGCGGCGGAGGTCGGGAGGTGGTGCCGTGTTTCAGGACGCGGGATGCCGCCGGGTTCGAAGGTGGATAAGGTGGGGGTGGGCCTGGTTCGAATCATCCAGATAGCCTCTGGTAGGCGAACAGTTTGCGATTGAAAATGGTGGATTTATAGTTGATATACCTATTTTTGACATGAGTTTCAATAGCTATGTTAAATTCCTGGTATATCCAGAGAATATAGGAAGCAACTGAAGGATCTTTATATATTTTGCAGGGCATCCAAGACTTGCCATGTATTGCTTGTTTTTCATTGGTTGTTTTTCTAAAGTGAAGTTTTTAACTCAAACCATATGAGATGTTGGGATGTCGTTGGGTTAAGAGAGGGGGATGTAAATCAACATAGTTGCTGATAAGATGGTATATAAGCGAGTAGATTCGATTACCCCGCACAATGGGAATATGATATTCCATCGAAATATAACCATCATTAATATTTAATTTTGGTGAATTAATACTCTATGAGAATATGATGAGACTTATTTTTCTATGGGATATACCCTCTGGTAATTTAACATAGCTATTGAAAATAGCCATTCATAGTTGATTTTCCCATTAAAAAATGGTGATTTTCCATAGTTTTTTGTATGTTTACCAAAGGGTAGTTTTCTATGGGATATAGCCAACAAAATCCATATGGTATCACCCTGACTTGGCCAGTGCCAGTGGTGAACTCAACTCACAGAGCTACCCTCGGGTTTCAAGCCATCAAGGGGCTAACATGGGAAGTTCAGCAGAAAAAAACATGTGAGATAGCGTACCCTCTGGTGAACTAACATAGCAATGGAAAATCACCATTTTTCATGGGAAAATCCACTATAAATGGCCATTTTCCATTGCTATGTTAGTTCACCAGAGGGTATACCATTTGGGGTTCAACCATAAACATTTATGAACCTCAAAGATGTCACTGACTTTGCGACTGGGTAAACCCAGCGATTTCGGAAAGGATCGACCTGGAAAAAATGGGGTCTACCCTCTGGTGTCATCAAACACGGCAAGCGGAGCCGGGAAATCCAAAAACGACCATCTGGTTATGACTAACATAGCTATTGACAATGGCCCATTACCTATGAAAAATGGTGGATCTTTCCATGGCTATGTCACTATGTTAAATAACCAGATGGTACTATCTGGTGATTTAACATAGCGAACTGGAAAATCCCTGAAATAAATGGAGGTTTCTAGCTGGGAACATCATCTATTTCAATGGGCTATTTTCCATGGCGGTGTTAAATAACCAGAGGGTAAACAGCAAAGAGATGCTAAGAGTCAAAAGCCTGGGGAATGGATGCTAAAATCCCCAACAGACAATAAGAGATTTGAATTGACCCATCCCCAAATTGGCACTGAAAAATGGAACAATCCTCCATAAAAGTGGAATTTTCAAAATGTTTGATTGGCACAGGGCAATGAGTCTATTGGATGTCGGCTAAAGTTGCTAAAGTAAGATGTCGGCTATATATTTCCATTGGATGTACAGGGAATATGAGCCAGGATCGATCCATCAGGGGATTTTTTGGCCATCCCCAGCCGGTTTTTTTTGGTGCTGGGGCCTCGGGTAAACGAACAGTTTGCGAACTTGAACATGGCCCAGTTGAAATAGTTGATTTACTGTACCAAAAAAGAAATAATGGTGATTTTCCATAGCTACGTTCAATTATACCAGAAGGTAGTTTTACTAAGCATCCAAGATGGGATATGGTCAACAGCGATAGAATGATGTAGCCACACAGCCACACATCTAAAGAATCACTGTGGCCGGTCAAGATCCCAGCATCTCGGAAAAAATTCTGAGGTTATCATAGAGCCAGCAATCGGCATATCCTAAACCATACGACTGCCCTTCGGAAATTCAACAGAGCTATGGAAGCCATGGCCCAGCTATAGTTCGATTTTCTGCGTTTCGGAACATCCCAGGACTCCTCGTACATAGTTCGACCATTTTTCCCATTAAACCCCTTCATCTATTCCCCAGCCATGAATGATTGCCGGAGGGCAATGCCATCACAATTATGATCCATTAAGCCACTATTAAGCACAGCAAGACTGAAACCTGTATTGACCGCAGTTTCGCACTAGATATCCCTAGATATCCCATGATATCCCTGCGAAGTGTCTTCGCCCAAGGTAGCGTTTTTACCTTCATCTTCCCTTCTTCTGTGCCTCGACGACTCTGGTGTGGTGTTGATTTCCAAGTGGTTGATTAATTGACGATAGCCAAGAAATGTATCTATATACCATCTGGTTACTGTATGACTAACATAGCCATGGAAAATCACCATTTTGAATAGGTAAACCATCTATAAATGGGCCATTTCCCATGGCTATGTTAAATAACCAGAGGGTAAATGTATATAAATGTCACCTTCACTATATAATTTACCTTCCATTTCTATTGCTTGCCATGGGACATGTGTGATCTGTGGTTGGTTAAGTTCCATTCACTGTTGGTCAACAGCCTTTTTTTTTTCGGCTTTTTCTTCCAAACATTTGTGGGTGTTATCCATGATTAACCCGCGTTTTTTTGTCAGCAACCCCTGATTTTTTTCACTATGCTTTTCTATGCTTTTGTTCCTCATGAAATCCAATGTTTGGTCATCTGACTCGCCAGGATTTATTAGCGCCACAATCCTTGTGGTTCTTGGTCAAAATCTGTTACAATCCCAGGGCGTCATGCCTAGTAATGTGGGCAAGCATATAATAACTGGTTGGTGGTTTGGAACATTTCTTATTTTCCCATATTTTTGGAATAATCATCCCAACTGACGAAGTCATATTTTTCAGAGGGGTAGGTATACCACCAACCAGATAAAGTTACTACCATGACTGGGGATGGTTGGAATCCCAGCCAAACATGATGATGACTTGGGGGAGTCTTTTTTTTATGACATTGAGTTTAGCTACATGAATATCCATATTTCGATTCCCTTAAATCACTGTGACTCCACACTCATCTTTTCTGGTTGATATAGTACTATAGCTTGGAACATGAATTTTATGACTTTCCATATATTGGGAATGTCATCATCCCAACTGGACTTTCACATTTTTCAGAGGGGTAGATATACCACCAACCAGATCATCATCATAGACATATATATATATATACATCATGTATGACACATTGATCATCAGTAATTATTGGATTATATACTGTATTTCTTTAATATACATCCAACCAGCCATAATTAACCAATGATTAACCATCATTAACCACTATTAATTACTATTAACCACCATTTTCCTATGGTTTTCCTATGGTTTTCCTATGGTTTTCCCATCCCCAGGAGCCTTTTCTCATCCCCGTGGCGGCGTCCCAACCAGGACTTCCACATCGACCGCAACCTGGACACTGTGCTGGGTGCCCTGCGGCGCTTGGGGATCGAGGCAGAGAAGAAAGGGCGCAACGATGCTTGGATCGATATATAGATTGGATTATCATGACATATATAGATTATAGATAATGATATAGATTATAGAGAATGATACAGATATAGATATAGATAATGATATAGATATAGATATATGCATAGATATAGATATAGATAATGATATAGATATAGATATATGCATAGATATAGATATAGATAATGATATAGATATATACATAGATATAGATATGCATATGGATATGGGTATAGAATATATAGATAATGATATAGATAGTGATATGATGATGATGATGATGATGATGATGAGGATGACGATGACGATGACGATGATAATGATGATGATGAGGAGGAGGCGGAGGAGGAGGAGGTAATAATGGGATAATAACGGGATATTTTATATTCACTATATTATATATAGCCCCATGAGATCTCTCATGGATATATAGATATACAATGGATATCATGATATATATATATATATCATGGGATACAATGGCATGTATAGTGATGATGTTTTGGATTTCCTTGGATATATTTGCAACTCATATTATTGTATCATGTATCGGTTCATATAACCTATTAACGGAGGTATGGCTATGACCGTCGTCTAGCACTTGTTTGAGCATGAACATGGATAATTGGATATGATAATTAAATACATGTTTTGCCAACTAACTGCAACATTGGTAGTCGGTACTATATAGATAAGATCCCGACTACATATATAAGTTTCTATTGGCAACATTATTTTGGATGTGAACTAGAGGGTCCAGAGTAGCCAGAACTATTTGGGCTTCTTTTGGTACAATGGTTGGTTTTCACAAGGCAAGCATTGGTGGTTAAACATGGTAACCCACAAAAAGATGCAAAAACAACGTCACATTAAAAGAGTGATAATTCACTTTTCTATCTTTTTGGTATTATTTGGTGGGTTGCAATAAACTGATTCATAAAAGCCATCTAAACTACACTATTCAACCGGAGGTTTTATGTTGCTGGACCTCTCCGGATTTTGGGGGGTGATCTCCGGATAGGAGCCTTGGCTTCGGAATGTTTTCATGAAAAAGAAAGGTTTTTTTTTGCTGGGATCCATTCCATATATATATATATAACTGGGAATATCAATGAATTTTTATGAAAGTTCAGGCAGCAATAATCAGTCATCAGAAATTGAAATCAAAGCCCCTGGGTGGTTGATCGATCATTTGGGCTACCAATTTAGATCAGAAAAAAGGCAGCAGATGACATGAAAATAATAGTAAAGGCGGTAATCACGAATGAAAATCACCCTTAAGGTGTATTAATCCAGGGTAGACATTATATATATAGATCTATGCTGTTTTTATATGTCCAGACCTCACTGTTGCTTTTGAAACGGTCATCAAGTTACGTGTACATACCATTTAGCGAAATGCATTTTGGATGAGTACCCCCAAAACACAAACGCACTTCTTTGAACCATAATTCCACATGGGTTGGTCTGAAAATAGAATACCCTGGATACGCCTAATCTACTGGTTAATCACCATTTTCCCTATTAAACCGTACGTTTCGGTGGTATACAGTACCCCATTTTCGAACAAACCCAACATATCATATCAAGTTGGTTACTTATCCGTGAAAACCCCATTAAACCCCATTGAATCACAATTCACAATTTACATATCTTTGGGGTGGGTCGGTCCTGCTTTTTTCACTCTGAAACCCCACTGAACCACAAAAAATTGGATACCCTCTGGTAAACTAACATAACTATGGAAAATCACCATTTTTAATGGGAAAATCCACTATAAATGGCCATTTTCAATAGCTATTTAGACATAACCAGAGGGTATCTTTGGCACTTTTGAAGCTCTTTAAGGACCTCACCCATGAGGACAAGAAGATTTCCGGCAGCGCCTTCAAGCATGCGCCAGACCGACAGGTGTCACTACATCACGGGACCATCTTGTTTCTTGCTGACGTTTGGGAGATCGTTTCGGCAAACCTAGGCCAGGGTAGGTCATCATTTTATGGGGACATCGTGGAATGTAACCAGCAACAAAAACACTGTACATATACTTAATGATTATTTGGGTGTGTTGTGGAAATGGAATTTACTCCGATTGATGGTCACTTTTGATGATAATCATTGATTTCCTCAGATTTTTGCTCGCTTTTTGTTCAGACACATCCATCTGGTTAAACCAGTGACTTTCCCGCCACAGGCAAATGACCCTCTGGCAATTAAACATGGCAATGGAACATTCTCCCATTGATAGATTGTCCCATTGAACCACGGCTTTCAAAAATGGCGTTTGAAACAACTGGCTACCCTCTGGTAATTTGTCACATAGCGAACCGGAAGCCATGGACCAGCTATAGTTCGATGATTTAAAATTAATTTAGCTATTCAACATGGTGATTTTCCAGTTCGCAAACTCTTAGTTCATCAGAGGGTACATCCATTAATATCCCAGTATTATCTCATCATTATTTATGCCATTATTATCCCTATTAAACATCCTTATTTTCCATAGCAAATGGGTCAATCACATGGGTCTAACATGGTCGAAAACCATGGTCGTTTTTACCCCGGTCTGAGAAAATGGTGAGTTCAAAAATGGGTTGCATGGGTTAATATATGTTAATATATGTTAATATGGGTTAATATATGTTAATATAGTGATTACTAATAGATAAATCGATTTCGATCGCGATGTAATCTATTCAAGAAAAACAAGAATTTGGGAATATCATGTGGATAGACAATGGATATACAACCAAACATATGATATTTAGGGTAATAAAACACGGTTCGGAAAATGCTCTGCAAATGGAGGTAAACTTAGCTGGGAAAATCATCGAAATATAGCCGGGGAGATTTTCCAGCCGTTTAGGAATTGCAGAGCATCACCTTCCAACATTCTTTGCCCCCAATTTCAAAAATCTCACCTGCATGTCCCATTTCAACATCATCCATATATTGTTTATATATTGTTTATATCCGATTTCAACATCACTAATTATTGTTTAGTTTGTTAGATGTTGCGTTTAAAACGATTCAAGTCGTCCCATTGATCGAGAACATCACCCTCACACAGTCTTCGAGATCCTTCCTGATGCGCACCCCCTCCATTTACCCTTTGACAAATTTAAGCTCGCGAACTGGAAAATCACCATGTTTAATCGGTAAATCATGGTAAATCATCATTGTGATCATCTATACATGGCTCATCTATACATGGCTCATTTCGATTACCATGATGAACCATTATCAACATATATCAACATTAACCATGGGTTTTCTCCTTATTGTGAATAAACAAATACACCAAGCCATACACCAACGACCACGATCCTTAGGATCGATACGGATTTGACGGCCCTGCAGCGGTATCTGACACCGGAGCCCCGGCGAGTTGACCGTTGACCAAGTGGATGATCAACAGCAAACAGTGATATTTTTGGGTTGTGGACTACCACAGATTGACCTTGAAAATCTATGAAAATATATGAAAATTTATGAGGATCTATGAACATATATTATATGAAGATCCATGAAAATCATGAAAAGTGACAGGCTATTTATACGCAACAACAATGAGGATTCAGCTGGAACAAACAACATAGGGGGGTTTGACCAGAAAAGATGTGCAATTGGCCCATCAAACAGCTGAAGATTTTCTCCGACAGATTAAATTGAACAGACGCAAGAGATGGATGAGATTTGGATCGGCCATTCAATGTTCTGCAAGGGGGTTTCTTGCTTTTCTGGTTGGTGGTTTGGAACATTTTTCTTTTTCATAATATATGGGATAATCCTTCCCATTGACTGATATTTCTCAGAGGGGTAGGCTCAACCCCCAAGCAGTAGAATCCAGTAAACTATCCAATCTTGGGTGATACTGTTTTGGCCCATACCCAAGGAGCAATGAATCCCTGGCCACCCTGTAAGCTTTTGGTCGAAAGTACCTTGCCGAGCCGCGAGTGATTTCAGGGTCGATTTTTTGGTCAAGGATTCTTGCCCCTTAAAATATCCCCTGGCAATAGAACATACTCCAATTATCTCCATGCAAAACTATTTCTTCAGTTAGTAAGTGTAGTAAGCGGGCAGCAATCGTCTTATTAAACACATACTTTATATATACATCATGGCTGGATTCTATGTGAGTCATAATAGATGGGTCCATCCGGGCTATATATATATTATATATATATATGTTACATGCGTTACAAACCACTTACAATCTCCAAGAAACAGGCGCAGAGTTGACAGCCGACCAGCGGCGACCTTCGCCCAGAGACGACTTGCTGTGCCAAAAACCCGAAGTGTGGGATGACTGGGATGCAAGCTGTCTTCGTGTCCATTGCTATGTCTTCCAACAGGGTGCAGCATCTTGTGCCATTTGTGGCTGATGTGCAGAGCTTGCGATACCTCTGCGGGTGATTTTTCACCCCCATTGACAAGAGAATCCTGAAAACTGCTTGGTGGTCTCGAAATAGTCAATTTCCATTTCTTTTTACCGTACACCCAAGTCATTGCATTTTTTTTTTCCCCGTTTAATATGTTTTCATCGGGAAATCATGACCAATCATCAAATTGAGGGGTACCCTCTTTCCAGACCCTGCTTGGGGTCCAGGGTCACTCCAATACGAGGACAAGAGGAAACTGCAAGCGAAAGGCATCGCCAGTGTGGGCGCGCGGGTGATGAACCTGCGAGAAGCTCGGCTGTTGGTGGAAGCTTTTGACCAAAAATGGGCAGTTACCAAGCAAAAAATGCTATGATGGGTTGGGTAGTCAGCAAAAATCCCAAAAATGGGCTATCCCTTATAAACCTCATAAATCCTTATAAGATCAAGCAACTTGGCTAGTCACCAAAAATGCTATGATCTTTGGATGGATTCCTGGCAAAGATGAACCACCGTGGAATTGGATTGTAGACGGCCTGGATTTGCAGCAGTACCTAAGGGCGATCATCCCAGGTAAATCGCAAGTGGCTAGGATCACCATTGTAGTCAGACCCCATGTACAAAGGTGCGAGAATCCACGGATCGGGGACTTACCATCACCAGGGCTACCCTCTAGATATCAAACGTGATCTGCTGAAAAATCTACCATTTAGTTCGATGATTTTCCCAGCTAGAAACCTCCATTGATAGTTGATTTTCCCATCTGTTCCTGTGATTTTCCCATGATCTTCCCGTTCAAAACGGACTTCCCATGATCGTGGGATGGTTTCCCAGAACGGACAGCGAGTTCGGGGCCGAGGAAAGCTTTCCCAAGTTGACTCATCAGCAGCTCTGTGACGCGCTGATTGAGGCTGCTGTGAAAGGGAAAGGGTCAAGACTTTGGCCGGGATGAAGCAACTAATTCACTGGAAAAATAATATGAAACCCAATTTTTTGGCATCACCAATTGAAATGGATCAAGAACCAACAACTTTTCTTCTTTTTTTTGGTGAATGATCAGGAATTGGTACCAGGTTAATTGGTCGATTCTTAGCCCTTGCAATTTATTTTCAATGGGGAAGTACAGTGGGTTTCGGCATAGGTCAATATTGAACCATCTAGCTGGTACTTAACACATTTCAACACCAAAAACACAGCATCATTTCAACATATTTTACCCAGAATAATTATGGTATATTATATATAGTATATTATAGTGATTATAGTCACAATAGGTCCTGCAAAAAAAAATGTTTCAAATGTTTAAAACCTTTGTTACCTTTTCGAAACATGTTTAACTGAAGTTTTTTTCACCCCAACCCACCGAGCGCCACAGGAGTTTCGCGAGCGCCACGGGGCCACAGAGCCTCTCGAGGAAGTGACGGAGAGGTCCGAGCTGACGCGAGCGGAAGCGTTTCAGGAGCCGAGGGGCACTCTGAAAAGGGCTAGCTGGTTTGTGGTTTGGAACATGATTTTTATTTTTCCATAATATATGGGATAATCCTTCCCATTGACTTTCATATTTTTCAAGATGGTTGAAACCACCAACCAGGCTACTGTATCAGTTCTTTTCAAATGATGGGAAAATGAAGAACATGATGAGACATCCCCTATAAAATCTGTAAATGATGGAGGTGTTGATGGGAAACTGGTGAAGACATGTGAATATTTTTTGAGAAGATTGGATTACTCCCTTTCCCATCACGCTAATAATGGTGATATTAATGGGTATAATTTATGGGATTCTAACCTCCATAAGTTGGGATATAACTCTATAACACCTACAACTATTATTATTAATGAGACATATGTACTTAATATTAAACACCACCCAGAAACTGTGGTTTCATAGGGAATACATTTGGGACCATAGAATGGGGGTGTTGATCATGCTTCGGAGATGGAGCGACAGAAATGTTAACGTTTTGACCAACATGGGGAATGAATGGGAAGATGTTGGGATTTATTGGCAATATGTTGGGATATGCTTGTAGATACTACGGATATTTTCTGAGACTAGTTAATATATACACGGTAACGACATTTAAATATGTGGAGGGCGGGCGAGACCGCGACGCGCCGTAAATAGTATGAAACACCAGTTCCATCCGTATATTTTAAATGTATGTGTAAACAAATTGGATTCCGTATGTTGAAATGGCCGGGCAGGCCAAGGAAAACCTTCCCGAGGCAGTCTAAGGTACCTGTTCGTATATTTAAAAGTCCGTATATTTAAATGTAGTTGTATAATGTTATATACCGTTACCGTATATTATATATATATTATAGAGTTGTCATTGGGTATTTAACAACAGATCTGTTGGATGATTGGATGAGGATTTAATCACCAATCATGGGGATATAGCCAATATAACTGCGTCAACCAACTGCCTAACTGCCTGATGCAGTTTTCATTGTTTTATGCTGTTTTTTTTTTTAAATGTCAATGTGGTGTGGCGTGTGGCTTGTGGTTCGGGGAATACAGTTCACGTTACACTTCTTATGTTGGTGCTGCTACGTCACGCTTGGGGTGGGGTTGGGGTTGGTTGGGGTGGGGCAATAACGTTCATGTCACGCTGCTATGTACGTGCTGCTATGTCACACATGGGTGGGGGTTGGGGTGGGGTGGGAGGGGCAATAGCGTTCATGTTACGCTGTTATGTACGTGCTGCTATGCAATAACGTTCATGTTACGCTGCTTTATGTACGTGCTGCTATGTCACGCATGGGATGGGGTTGGGGTGGGGTGAGGCAATAACGTTCATGTTACGCTGCTTATGTACGTGCTGCTATGTCACCACATGGGGTGGGGTTGGGGTGGGGTGGGAGAGGGGCAATAACGTTCATTTACGCTGTTATGTACGTGCTGCTATGCATAACGTTCATGTTACGCTGCTTATGTATGAGCTGCTATGTCACGCATGGGGTGGGGGTTGGGGTGGGGTGGGGCAATAACGTTCATGTTACGCTGCTTATGTACGCGCTGCTACGTCTCCCATGGGGTGCATATCCAACAAACGTGTAACAATGAACATGGCATGTAAATGTCTTACTTTGCTCACCCACACTTGGGATTGTCCGAATCGTGTCGGTCCTTTACCTCCTAAACTGTCCTGTCCTTATCTCGCTAGATTTGGTTGGTTCTCCAAAATAAGTCATGTCCTGATGAGGTACTGAAGGTCAGATGCTGGTTGGCCACATGTCAGAACAGCATTTGGAATACCCTCTGGTAAACTAACATAACTATGGAAAATCACCATTTTTATTGGGAAAACTCACTATGACCAAGGTCCCATGGGTGCAACATCTGCAATGGGGTGATGCACTGGTTCTTTCGCTGTCTGACCCCGTCGTGCTCGAACTGTGCGAGCGCGCGTGGTTGATCGAGTGTCAGAACTTGCTCTGGCAGACTAAGGATTCTGAGTTACTCACTTTGGGCTATATCGGCTTTGGGCTGTGGCACCTCTTCAAAGTCTTCGTCGTATTTATCTTTGCTTGAAATTCACCAGGCCGAAAAGAAACTATCTGTGGAGCAGAAAGTCAAGGAGCAACACAAGACCCGCAAAGGGAAGGTAAAGATGATTGACATCGGAGAGGGAAGTGAACATGGCAAAGGGACGTGCCTTCCATGCCCGTTTGTCTTTCGCGTTGCCAATGTCACTTCGGCTCCTCGACGCCTGCCACGGGTCTCGATGACGGCGACACCGAGTTGCATATATTTGCTATATGGCAGTGTGTCAAAACCTTGTACCCCTGGTGAACATCAAAATAGCTGGTAAATGGGTGTTCATTCCCCTAGAAATGGTATTAATAGGTATTGATCCATGCCCATATGTCCATCACATATGCCATCATATGCCCATGATCTTCCATCACGAACGCTTCACTCAACGTCGCCTGGCGGCAGGAGCTGGTTGCTGAGTTGAGCGACAAGTCCTGGCGATTGGGACACTCGGGACTCCGGATGTTCAAAGCCAACTGCGTGGATAGACCCCTTAAGATTATGGTACAATGTGGGGCCCCCCAGTTATAAGTTGGTTTATAAACCCCATTAACTATAGTTGTAAGTACCATAAACCATAGTTATTGGAGTTATAAACCAACTTAGCTATCTTGGGGGCCCCACATTGTAGCATCATGGTGATATACAAGCAACAAAACTGGAACATCATCTGTAATTCACGGAAACTCATCTGAGATGAAATTTTTGTGACATGATGCTGATATTATGCTGATAACAATGATATAACCAACTAAACCAGGTGATTAGCCGACCAAACCACGGGAAAATTGTTTATACTTATATAAACTTAAACTGGGTTTGATGGTGAGATAGGCAAAAAAGGATATTGATATTCAAACAGGGGCTATCACCATAAAGGTGATTTCACTATCATTCATTTTTTTTTATGCAACACAATGGTGGTATGTTTGGTAAATGACAGTCGATGATTTGTTTTAATGGTGATACAGTGATACCCTTATGACACCCTCTGCTGATTTGTTACATCGAATCACCATGGTATAAATGTCCCATTGTAGATGATTTGGCTATTAAAGACCAGGATTTTCCATCACAATGTTAAATCACACGAGCATATTTATTGGGTTACAACCAAGTAAGCCAACAAGTCAACTTGATTTGAGATGAAAATAGTGATCCAATGATGATATATCATGGTGATAGAATGGGAATATAGTGGGAGTAACCATCAAACATTGGAATTTAACCAGCCATGCTGGTGGTATCATGGGATATTTTGGGGATATAATGAGGACATATTGGGTATCTGGAAAAATTAACTGGACAGAATTAGTGGGAAATAATGGTAGTTTGGTAAATTTCATTTTTTTTTGCCAGTTTGGTGTGAATATATTAACCTTGTGAGGTATCGGGGCATTATTTCAGAGATGTTCTGTCTTAGCTTTGCGCTGCGCCTCCAGCCAGCAGGGGTTTCAACAACATGGGGAAAACTTTTTGGGATGCAACGCCCTGAAAGACGCCACATCAGCTTGGATGGCTTGAAATGGCTGGCAGGTTTCGAACAAGGGCATATCTGAGGTTGGTCATGTGTTCATTGTCATAGGGGATTATACTACTTGGTTGGGGCTCCCGGTTTGCACACATGTTGGTAGTGCCAGCTTCAATTCCAGCATTTTTGTGTTTCATATTTGGGGATACGTCCGTACCTTTGGGACCTTTTTTTCTAGGGATGAACATCCACTTACTACCTATTAACCAAGGGTTTTACTCATATGGTTGCGCCATACCCACTCTGGTTTGTCTGAGGGTAGGGTATACCCAAATTCATTCAACCATCATTGTCCATCATTTTCCAATTAAATTGCCATCGGCAGTCCCCCATTTTCAGCCTCACCTAAAACACTCTGCTCCTCTAGGAATCCAATCCATTCACTATTTCGATGTGAAAACCATCTATTTTTTGGGGTTTTTCGATGGGTCGAACTATCAGAGTTTTTTGTTACCCTGGCACTGCCGAGGAAAGACCCCGGAATTCTCGCATCAATTCGAGACGCGCATCGACGGCGTGGGCGTCTTTGATGTGCATCTGAAAGTGGTGCCGCGGGCTCTGCGGCGGAGTCGTTGGACATTGAGAACATTGGGTCCAGGTGTTGTGAATCTAATATTGGAAGATAGATGAGTGAGTATCGAATAAGTATCGAACATTTATTGCTCATGAAACGTGCTTACAATGTATAGTACTGTAATACTATATATATTCCTATCTATAGTTGTTATCTAGGTATATATATTATATTAATGGACTAGACAGTCCATGAATGCCCTGACAATCCATGGCAGTCCATCAATGGAATATGTTTATTGTATGACCCCATACTGTTAGAAAATATATGAAAATATGAATGATGGAACTCAGAAGTATATTGCCATGTGTTTCAATATATATGGCAATTTGTTAGTCAATATTGGCCATTGCCAATGTTTTTCAATATTGACTACCAGCCAAAGTCATCCTTAAACTCTGGAGAGTGACCGTTGCAGATGCGCACGATTTACACTGTCCGATCCTGTGTGAGTCGCAGATCAACACAACGTCCCGGAGATAAAAAACAGTGGTGGCTTGGGGTGACCCTGAAACTTTCATGCTTCATCATGCTTCTGAGCCGATTGAAGTAGTTTGGTGCAACTTAATCCTTTGTTGATGGGGATGTATGAACCACCTTTTTTTTTGGCAAAGTATCTCAGATTAGCCCTGGGTTCCATACGGCCCTCCATACTGAAGCCATCATACCCATTTTTGTCACCAATCGAGTCACTAATTCCTTTCATTGAATTTGACGCAGGCTTTATCTTTTGTTGCCCATGTCTTTTGGTGAAATCATGTTTACCCAGAATTCTGGGCAAACCTTTTTTCGGTACAGTAGTTGGCATTCTGCTAAATGAAAGACATCGTTTGTGGCTTTTTTATCACAATGTTTGATCATCGTAAATCCATCCAATCCATCCGTTTCAGGCTTTTTTTCCTTCTCTTTTGTAGAAAAAAGTCCCTATTTGTGGAATCTCCAGCCGTCGCAGCCCTTGATTCAACCAGCAACCGCACTGGCTTCGCTGAGGTGCAAGGGGTCATTGAGGATGCCACAATCTTTACCGATGCGCTCTTTCCGGATGTTGCTTGACGGATATGAATTGGGTACGTGGGATTTGATGGACTTGTCCATATGTCAATATGATGTCAATATGATGTCAATATGATGTCAATATGAGGTCAATATGATGTCAATATGATGTCAATATGATGTCAATATGATGTCAATATGATGTCAATATGATGTCAATATGATGTCAATATGTGTAACATATGGTGTAACCAAGCAAATGATATTTGGGGTTGTCTGATCCAGTTTTTTGTCATCAAATAATCATGTCAATGGTTTTGTTGTATCTGGTGATAAACCTGGTAGATTTGGATGACCTGAAATTGCAATAGGAGATGCCAACTGGTGGATGGGTTCCCGATGTCGTTGCCACATGTGTGTGAAAATGTCTGCTGGCTTTCCTAGTTGCCCACTTTTTTGATGTTTTTTTTCGCAGCATTTCTCCCATTTCTGGCCTTGGTCATCACACACCACACCTTTCCTGGCACCTTTCCTGGCAGCGGGCTGAGGTCATCACGCAGGCCATGCATGCGCTGAAGGGCCGGGACTACGGGCGGCACAGCATGCGCCAAGCGCTGCTGGAGCTGCGGCCGCAGTTTGTGGAGGAAGGGCCCAGGAAGAGCCTGGATGCCATGACGGAGTGGATGATCTCCAATGTGGAGGACTAGGAGCTGGATATTGTCTAATATTGTAGTACAATGTGAGGCCCCCAAAATAGCGTTCAGTTGGTTAACTCCAATAACTATGGTTTATGGTACGCAAATAACTATAGTAACCTGGGATGTTGAAAACGTGAATGGTGAATGGTGATGTTCAAGATGTATGGATGATTTTTTTGGACTATTTTTGTTGGATGCCAACATCAACAGCAGAAAATTTATGGATATCAATTGTTCAAGCCTGTCAGATCCATGCGATCATTGCAGTCGATCGCGACAAAATCCGGGATCGCGCGCCGGGAGGCAACAATCTGCTGATACCTGGATATTTATCAACAGACTATGTGAATATCTTGGGATATACTCCGGATATCTCCGGATATACTGGAATTACTATAGTCAATTGATTTTTATTGATGCTATTTGGGTATTTGGCAACAGCTTTGTTGGATCAGGATGTTAAAACACCACTAGATGGGCATCTAGCAACCTCACGGTCTGACGTCTGAGCAAGAGACGTGAGCATGGAAGTCATGTGTTATGAATGAATCAGATCCTGGTATCATGTTTTTACTTGCCAACATCAGTGTTTCATTCAAAGGGTACATATAATAATCTGGATGAATATGGGTAAATAAAACCAGCACCATCGATGGTGTTTTGGACATGATTGCCAATGACATCCCTGATTTCAAGCATGTTCCCAGAATTGCAGGGAAAGTGTACAGGACATACCAAGACCGAGTTTTAAGGGAAGAAACCTATCTTTTTCCCTATAATTTCCCTTCAAACAATCCAGAGTACCTTATATACTGTGAATCCCGATGTTATTCCATATATTTTATACTTAAATCAGCTTAAGCTCAACACCCGTGATTCTATGATTCAGTTCTACATACTAATATCCTTATTATGAATCCCATGTTTGAATATATATATATAATATGTAACATACATATATATATATATATCATAGCGTTGGGGATTAGATCAGCTTAACTCCTAATTTTATGGTGTCTAAAGCAACATTTCATCGATTGAATCCCATGTATACGTGATGTCAAACCATGTTATAAATTATATATACATATATTTAAATTTACACCTCAAGCATTTTCAAACCCATGTATAGAACATGTATATATGTGTTCATTAAAAAATCCCAATGAATCAACTGCGAGCCATCGGTGTCAGGTCATCGAGTTTACCAAGGAGGATTTGCTGAAGGATGATCCCCCACAGGAGCCCGCAGTTCCTGAGGAAGAGCCAGCTGATGAAGAGCAGGTGGGGAGCAGGATATGTCAGGATGACTGGTAGGCCTGGTAGGCTGTGGTTTATGAAATATCAATGGTTTTTCATGATGTTTATATAATAGGGATACCCTCTGGTAATTTAACATAACTATGGAAAATCACATTTTTTTAATGGGAAAACTCACTATAAATGGCCATTTTCAATAGCTATGTTAGTTTACCAGAAGGATAAGAATGGGATAATGGGATAAGCAATGATAAGCATGGGATAATGAACGGATCATGTTTCTGGATGTTTCTGGATGTTGACCAAACTCGTCGGCCATATGTCACTGGAATGATGGTGGGTAGAGAGAAGGATGGATGATCTGGATGATCCTCAACAATGAACAATTGGGGGTTCAATCTCGCCAATTGGGGACAAATTGGGAAGTCCATCCACAAATTGGTGACAAAGATTGGTGCTGAAATTTTGAAGTGGAGTATGTACTGGTAGGCTACTATAAGTTTAATGACTTTCGGAGGGACACTGATTTTTAACGTTGTGCAGTGGCTTCTTTCCATGAACTGGCTGGTGAAAAGCCTAGGTCAAGCGTACTGAACCCAGTTAGCTTAGTTCAAGATGCTGAAGAGCCACCAACTTGGGTATATACCCTCTGGTTATGTCAAAATAGCTATGGAAAATGGCCATAGAAATAGTTGATTTACCCATTAAAAGTAGTGGTTTTCCTTAGTTATGTTAATTTTTCCAGAGGGTAGTTGTAAGCCAGACAGCCAGTGATTTGGGGTAGACTGGAGCAGGGGAGTTGTAAATAACTCGGAGCCACGGCTAAGCTTAGCTTAGCCGTTTTTGAGGGATGCATTTCATAAGAGCCATGATGCCTGTGCCTCTTAAGAGATGTCCATGCCCGTTGGGAGGCAATTTCTCAAGTGTTTTCATGGTTACACGACCATTCCATCTATGAAATCACCACTTTTTTGGCTGTTCTCTAAACCATGGGGCCAGACTCGGCCAGACACCCAAAACCATCAAAATACCAAGGGTGTCCCATAGTTTACGAAAAAATATTGCTATACATTACAATAATAACTATACTATACTTCTATAACTGGTTGGTGGTTTGGATCATTTTTTATTTTCCATATATTGGGAATGTCATCATCCCAACTGACGAACTCCATCATATTTTTCAGAGGGGTTGGTTGAAACCACCAAGCAGTAAATAGTTAATCAATCATTAACCACCATTAACATCCATTAACCACTATTAACCACCACTAATCACCATTTTCCTATGGTTTTCCTATGGTTTTCCCATTCAAATCCCATAGTTCTCCCATCGTTCTCCCATCATTTTCCCACCATTTCCCATGGCTCCCGGCTCTCGCCTCACTCAGGCGGCGTCCGAAACGAAAGGCTTTGATCCATCCAGGAGAAGCGTGACATGGTGGCATGGCGGAGCGTGACATGGGATTTTTTTATGGGAAAAAACTGTGTGATTTTTACGGTGGGAGAATAGTGACTTAGTGATACTGATGGGGAAACATTGTGGTTAAATAGTGGTTAATAATGGTTAATAATGGTTAATGAGATATCTGGCTTAGTTTTCGGATTAATGATTGCTTAGTTAACATGGCATATCGGTTCTGAAGTGATGATTAATGATGGTTAATAATGGGGTTAATAATGGTTAATAATGGTGGATCATCATGGTGGTTAATTTTATGGATACTGATGGGTGGATAACGGTGGTTAATAGTGGTTAATTAATAATATGGTTAATGGATGTTAATGATTCATAATGGTTCATGGTAATGGTTCATTGATTCATAGGGGTGTATATATATAGTTCAACTATATGGGAGAATAGTGATAATGGTGGTTAATAGTCCTTAATAATGATAATGGTTAATGAGATACTCTGGTTGGTGCTTTGGAACATTTTTTTAATTTTCCCATCTATTGGGAGTGTCATAATCCCAACTGGACGAACTCATATTTTTCAGAGGGGTAGGTCAAGCACCAACCAGCCATAATTAACCAATGATTAACCATCATGAACCAGTATTAACCACTATTAATATCACATATCCCATCATGTCCCATCAATATCACGATAGTGATGGGGAAATTTGAGCATGTTGACTGGTGATCATTCACTTGGAATTTTCATCATTGCCAAGTTGTCGTGGGAATGTCCACGTGTCCCTATGGTCCCTATGTTCAATCCACTATCAGCGAGAATGCATTGCAATACATGATGCATTGTTTGTTGATACTTGGGATAGTTACCTATCATCATCATCCTCATCATCCTTATTATCCTCATCAATATTTGCTGTACTTTATTACTATGTACTATAATCATTACAATGGTATACTGTAAGATGGGTCGGTCCAAAGATGGTGCGTACAGTATACCCAAAATTACAGTGGGTCTTGGAGTTACCCCATGCTCAGACAAATAAACTCATTTTACTACTATGTCCCATAATGATATACTATAACATACCACAATGATATCCTACAATATTACTAGGATATACTGTAATAGTTTTGTCATTACAATGAGTAATTATTACGCTATATCCCACATATCTCTGCTTAATCAGCCCATGAAATTGCCATTTGGGGCTATCTCCCAGTTTCGGATAGACCGGTATATCGCTTGTTTGGTTACATCCCCATTAATATGTCCCTATTATTGGTACTTGGATCACGGAAAAAGTCACTAGATCCAAGTAATGGAAGCACAGATTTATCACATATGTTCCCCATTATACCGCTATAAGATCACTACCACTATTACTATGTATTACTACATATTGTTATATTTCACTATACGTTACTATATATATATATATGTATATTACTCTATATTACCATAGATTGCTATATTACTATAATATATAGTAATATATAGTAATATATATATATATATTACTATATATTACTATATATTACTATATATTACTACATATTACTATATATTACTATATATTACTATATATTACTATATATTACTATATATTACTATATATGACTGTATATTACTATATATTACTATATATTACTATATATTACTATATATTACTATATATTACTATATGTATATTATTATATACTACTATGTTACTATATATTGCTATAATATATATATATAACTATGTGTTACTATGTATTACTATGCATTACTATGTATTGCTGTATATTACGATATTACTAGATTATGTTAGTATTTGTTGCTATATAGTATATACCAAACATATTGTGCAGATTTCAGTTGGGTTACACACCCATAGCCATCTGGCACAAAAGCGAGCTGCGCACTGCAGCGTGGGAAGCCTATGGTATAGGCTGGGTTTGCATGGTAGCGTGCCCAGGTTCATCCAGTGCCGTGAACCGTGGCCGCACTGCTGTGGAGCAGCAGTTGGTGCTGGGCTGCAGGACATCGAGAAGGGGTTCCTGCTTGTGGAGGGGGAAGTGGATCCTGGTGGCCGTGGCGGTGATCCTAGGCTGCGGAGCTGGGGTACCCTTCGCAATAGTGGGATTGGTTGTTGGAGATGGCAGCCCCGACGATGGAGGATCTGGTCCAGGCAGTACAAGGACTACAAAACCAGGTTCAACAACAGCAGACGGAGAACCAGCTGCTGAGGGATCGGATCACGAACTTTGAGCTGCAGCAGGCCCAACAAGCTGCACAGCAAGCGGCAGTATCGCCGTCTCACCATGGAGGAGGAGTCAACCCAGATGAGATCCTTCGAGCCCTACAAGGTCTTCCAGAAGCAATTTCAAGGATGAATCGCCCCAAGGGCCTCATAGATCCAAAAGGATTGGGAAAGCCTACGGTGCTTGGTGATGATGCTGATGCCAAGTTCCGGTTGTGGGCCATCAAGCTGGAAGACTATGTTGCAGGAGTTTTCGGAGGACGATGCCGAGAGGTATTGGAATGGTCCGCTGGCATGGACGCTGAGGTGACACAGACCGACATCGACAACAACTTCGGCATGGCGGCGGACCTCAACGACCAGTGGGACGAGGTGGACGAGCTCAACAGCCAGCTCTACACGGTGCTCAGAGCGACAACAGAGGGGAATCCCTTTGACCTGGTGGAGAATTGCCCCACAGGGCGTGGGCTGGAAGCTTGGCGCCTCTTGCACCGGCGCTTCGATCCCGCTACAGGGTCGAGGAAGAGGGTGATGCTGCAAGCCCTCACGAACCCAGAAAGGGCATCATACGAAAGCCTTCAAGCAGCCCTGGAAAGGTGGAAAGCCCTCAGGTCCAGGTACGACAGAAAGAAGGACCAGTTTGGGATCAGAGAGGCGTTGCCGGAGTCTTTGGCAATGAATGCCTTGGAGAAGCTGGTGCCCAAGGACTTGGAGACCCACCTGATGCTCAACTACACCCGTTTCAGGACCTTCGACGAGATGGAGCAGGAGGTCATCAACTTCATCGAGGCCAAGACGGGGAGCCGAATGGTGGTGTCATCCAACTTTGCAAAGCCGAGCAATTCGAATGGTCCTGTGGCTATGGACGTTGACTCTTTGGTCAGAGCCGTTAGCGGCACTTTGAGCTCGCTTGCAAAGGGCAAAGGAGGAGGCAAGCCTGGCAACAACCAGAAACCAGGCGGAAAATTCGAAGGCACCTGCGATCATTGCGGGAAGCCGGGGCACAAGAAGGCCCAATGCTGGCACCGAGATCCCAACAACAAGGGCAAGGCTTCATCGAGGAGTTCAAGTGCGAGCCCCAAGAAGGTGAGATTCGAGGGCAAATGCGACAATTGTGGAAAGGTGGGACACAAGAAGGCTCAATGCTGGCAACCTTCTGGAGGCAAAGGTAGAGGAGGAGACAAGCAGAAGGGAAAGCAGAAGGGCAGTGCCAACTCTTTGGACAACCCTGAGCCTGAACCACCAGCCGATGCAGGAGGACTGGATCTTTGCACCATCACTTCATCCCCTACTCCGTCGAGGACTTCGAGGGTGAGCACTTCAAGGATGTCGAGGGTGACGGACATCCCCTACTTTGAGGAGGAAGGGGAGGAGTCGAGAGCAGCTTCAGATCGTGAGGCATCAGTGGCATCGACGGTCAACTCGCTGGATGAGGGGTGGATCAAATGCAACTTGGACACCGGTGCCTCAGTCACTGTCTTCCCGAGGAGGATGTTCAACAACGTGGATGAGCCCAATGACGTGCACCTGAAGACCGCATCAGGAGAAATCATCAGAGGATATGGAACTACATCCATCAGGGGGAAGGACGAGAAAGGCATCGGGCGCAAGTTGACCGGCCAGGTGACGGAGGTGCACAAGATCTTGGTCAGTGCTGGAGCCCTACATAAGAAGGGATTTTCAACTTGGATTGGCCCTGGTGGCGGATGTATTATCCCCTTGAAGCATCCCATCAATGATGCATTGGGAGTGGCTTATGCGGCAGCGATTGGAAAGCATGGGGATGAGGGCATCATACCACTCTATGAGGAGAACGGAGTGTACAACTTCTACATCAACGACTTGGAGGACGTGAACAAGTTGGATGCCCCTGCAAAACCTGATGAGGAGCCACCAGAGAAGAGGGCCGAGATGAAGTTGGTCCCACAGCCAACATTTGCACCTGCGCCTAGGGCAACTGGGTCGGATGCACCTATGAGGAGCAGATCACCAATGAGGCATCGACCAGTTTGTGCCGTGGAAGGCGATGATCCAGAAGGAGATGCAGGTGACGATCAAATGCAAGTTCGAGGTGATGAGGTTGAGGAGCCAGTGGAAGCCCGACGTGCTAACCCTGGCTGGACACCGAAGAGCCCAACAGATCGTGAACGAGCAGAACATGAGAGCAGTGGACATGCAGTCTACAGATCGTGGTGTGAGGAGTGCATCAAGGCCACTGGGATGAGCCATCAACATCGCCGCATTGACCACAGTGAGGACTTGGTCGACACGGTGACCATGGACTACTACTACATGGGTGAGGAGGACGGTGCCAAGCCTTACCTGGTTGCTCAAGACCGCCGCACTGGAATGATGATGTCAACATCCCTGAGGGAGAAAGGTGTGGCCGACTTGACAGCAACGAAGCTCTTGGCAAAGTTCTTGGACGTCCTCGGCTACAAGGAGGTGGTCTTGAAGAGCGATGGCGAGAGGGCCTTGATCGCACTGAAAAGAGCTGCAGCCCGACAATCAAAAGGGCTGGTCAGAGCAATCCACGAGGAGTCACCAAAGGGAGATTCAAAAGCCAATGGAGAAGCTGAACAGGCAGTTCGAGAAATCAAGTGGCGTGTGAGAGCCATCACAATGATGTTGGAGAAGAAGCTTAACATCAAACTTCCTGAAGGGCCTCCTTTGCTGACTTGGGTGCCCCGCTATGCAGCTGAGCAGAGCAACAGGTTCAAGATTGGCCATGACGGCCGCACTCCAGAGGAACGCAGAACAGGGAAACGATGGCTGAAGCCGATGCCTCTTTTTGGAGAACGCATCATGGTGAAGCCGGTTGGCAAGGGTCGCAAGGGTGATCTTTCCAAGATGAAATCTGGCAGGTTCCTGGGGTGCCACAACCGCTTTGGGAGCGTCTTGGCCATGACGGAGCAGGGCGTCATCGTGGGGAGCTCATACCATTCTCTGCCCGAGGAGGAGAAGTGGATTCAAATTGAAGATGGGTTGAAAGGAGCCCCATGGGATGTCCAAGCCTATGTGAGGAGAGTGGTGGAGGAGCTGCCACAACCTTTGGGGTTGCCAGCAGCTGTGCCGGTGGTTGTACCGGCAGCGGCGGCACAGGCACCCGCGGCACTACATGCTGAACAAGGAGAACTTCCTGGAGGAGACCTACGGCCTGGAGGAGAGGACGCAGGTGGTGAGGGCGCTCCACTTTTGGGTGGACCGAGCATCAGTGCTCAGGCGCCGGCAGGGCAGAAGAGGGCTTGGCCGGTGAGGCGCGAGCACATCAACAAGTTTGGCAAGACAGCTGAGTGCCCAGGGTGCACATCGCTGATGAAGGGCGTTGGGTACCAACAGATCGCCCACAGCGAGACATGCAGAATGAGGATCAAGAGGTGCATTGAGGAGCAGCAGAAGACTTCGGAGGAGTCAGCAAAGAGGCAAAGAGAACAAGATGATAAGATTGAGGCTGAGGTGAGGATGCGGCTTGAGGAGAGTGCAGAAGCCCCACAACAGCCACAGCAGTCAGGACCTTCTTCGAGCTCGAGGCCGAGTGCAGAGGAGCTACAGCAGGGAGGAGGTGAGGCTGCAGAAGATGAAGTGATTGGGGAGAGCCCCAAGAGGAAAGGAGGAGAACAGGGGGTTCTTGATGTGGAAGACCTTGAGAGGCAGGTCGAGGCAGAAGTCCAGGAGAGCATCCGAGATGAGGCTGTAGGAGCCATGGAGAAGATCATCGGAAGCCGAGAGGCGGCGCAGATCATCATGGATCTTGGTGCGATGGATGTCATCGAGGTGTTCTCACCCCAGAGGGTGAATCAAGAGGTCGAGCGCTTCGGCATGAGGAGAGGAGCGGCAATCGACTTGGATGAGATGAAGCCCGACGGCAGTGGCCATTGGGACTTGGACAAGCCCGACGATTACAGAGAGGTCCTGAAGATGATCATTCAGGAGCAACCTTTGTTGGTGACGAGCAGTCCGCCGTGCACCACATTTTGCCCACTGAGGAGGTTGAGCAATCACAAACGTGATGCAGAAGTTGTTGCAGCAGAAGAAGAACTTGGAAAGGAGAGGTTGAGAAAGGCCTTGAAGGCCTGTGTGCTTCAGGCGAGCACGGGCAACTACTTCCTGCACGAGCACCCCAAAGATTCTTGGAGCTGGAAAATGCCTGAGGTGAAAGAGCTTGTGGACAGCGGCAAGTACTACCTGGTCCAGAGCCCTATGTGTCGGTTTGGCATGAAGCTCAAGGACGACAATGGGGAGGAGCAATATGTGAGGAAGGAAACGTTGTGGCTCACAAACAGTGAGGCCATTGCAAATGAGCTCAAAGGAGTCTGCGACAACGTTTTACATGGGCAGGAGATTCATCGGCATGTGAAGCTGATTGGAGGGCAACGTGCAAAGGCCGCACAAGTGTATCCAAAGGCTTTGGTGGAAGCCATACTTCGTGGTCTTCAGAAGGAGGTGAGAAGGGCCAAGAAGATCAGCATGGTTGAGGAGATGATTTCGGGCCCATCGCCTGATGATGCAGTCGAATGGGACATGGAGATTGAGGAGGCAGAACCAATCATCGATGATGCCTCGGGAGCCATTTTGGACCCAGAGGCAGTGAAGAAAGCCAGAGAGGAGGAGCTCAAGTGGATCAGAGGAGAACAGGTCTACGAGCGAGTTCCTGCAGAGCTTGCACAAGGGCATCAACTACTTCGAGTCAAGTGGGTGGACATCAACAAGGGCGATGCCGACCATGTCCGCATCAGATCAAAGTTGGTGGCCCGGGAGATCAAAAGAGCAAAGCCCAAAGAGATGCAGTTGGGTGGGAGTGACACATTCAGCAGCACTCCGCCGATTGAGGCAGTCTATGCTTTGATGAGCTGCTTCATGACCCGAGCACCTGGTGATCGACGCAAGAAGATGGCAAACTGGGACATCTCTCGAGCCCACTTCATGGGGACAGCCGAGAGGGAGCTGTACCTGGAGTTGCCTGAGGAGGATCGAGTTCATCCAGGTGATCAAGGACCTATGGTGGGTCGTTTGAAACGGTCGCTCTACGGCACGCAGGATGCCGCCAAGATCTTCCAGACCGACTATGAGGGATGGTTGAAGAAACATGGAGCACAGTTTTCCAAGGTGTGCCCATCCATTTTCATCATCGAGCAGCAGGGCTTGATTGGAGTTGTTCATGGTGACGATTTCCTGGTCGTGGGAGAGGAGAATGGTCTGAAGTGGATGGACCAGCAGCTGAATGCCCGCTATACAGCAAGGTGGGAGGCAACATTGGGAGATGGGGAGAACGATCAACGCGAGATGTTCTTCCTCAACAGGCTGATTCGCTACGTTCCAGATGGAGCGGGACAAGGAGAATGTCGCTTGGAGATCGAGGCTGACGCCAGGCACTCCGAGATTTTGGTCAAGGAGTTCGGGTTCAAGCCTGATTCAAAAGGGTGCGACGTCCCAGAGGACAAGATGACAGAGAAGGACTTGATCGAGGCGGAGAGGGAGGCCACTTTGGAGCAGTCCCAGATTACGCAGTTCAGGTCAATGGTGATGAGGCTGGCCTATATGAGCATCGACAGGCCAGACCTGTGCCACTCAGTCAGAACTTTGGCATCAGCTATCGTGGCACCGAAACTTTCAGATTGGATGCGCTTGAAGAAGGTGGCGCGCTATCTCCTGAAGTTCCCCTGCCTGAAGAGGGTCTTTAAGCTCCAGTCCAATGAGGAGATCAACGTGACTGTCTTCACGGACTCGGACTGGGCTGGGAATCCGAAGACCAGGAGGTCTATGTCTGGAGCGGTGGTCAAGCTTGGATCACACACCATCCAGATCAAAGCGGCGAGCCAAAAGGTCGTGGCGCTCAGCAGCATGGAAGCTGAGTACTATGGGATGTGCCGTGGTGCAACGCAGGCCGTCTTCATCCACCACGTCTTGGAGTTTTGGCAGCTGAATCCTGGCAAGATGATCCTCAAGGTGGATTCGTCGAGTGCCAAAGCCCTGGTGGAACGGCGTGGCGTTGGCAAGACTCGCCACGTGCAAGCACGTTTCCTGTGGTTGCAGGATTTGATCTTTGCCAAGCAGATGATCGTGCAGAAGGTGAACGGCAAGGTCAACGACGCAGATCTTGTAACAAAGACTCAGCCGAAGGCCATGATCAAAGATCACTTGGCGAGGCTGAATTTCTTGGTATGTGGTAGAGAAGGCCATAAGAGGTTAACATGACCCTGGCCAGACTCCACTACCTGGGATTTTCCCCGGTGTTTGCGCCTTTGGACTTGCGCTCACACCGCAGGGGGTGCAGATTTCAGTTGGGTTACACACCCATAGCCATCTGGCACAAAAGCGAGCTGCGCACTGCAGCGTGGGAAGCCTATGGTATAGGCTGGGTTTGCATATTGCTATGATGTACGTAAGTTCCCTTTTAAATTCCTTTCAACCCACTAAAAAGAATCAATTCCACTATTTTTGTGTAATCCGGTAGAATATACTATAGTGTTAGTATGATATACAATATGTTTGTCATCACCATGGTACAGGGAGAGGTGATAGTTTCTGTTTTTCCTTACTAAGTATAGAAAAACATATGATTTCATAGCGCCAGGTGCTGGCTGAGGCATAGCCCCTTTCCATTCCCATCCACCAAGATGTTGATAGTTCCAATGGGAAAAGAAGTGAACCGTTACTTAAATGCTTCATACCGAATCGAAACTCCCAGCTGATGGTGAAGAAAACCGCATTGGCTTTCTCTGAAATGGACCACGCAGAGCAGGTCGACCCGCAAGATGTGTGGGAAGTAGACGCAGCCAGCAGTCGAAACTGGGCAGCTGCTTGGGCATTTGAAGGCAGCTGCAAAGTGCGCTGATAAAGCACCGCTCAAAGGAGTGAATCACAGAACATCTTTACTCCAACTGCTCCCTGGATGTGCTCCAGTGCCGCTCGCTTCCTCGACAAAGTGCCGCCAAGGAGCGCAACTGGGGAGAAGCTTTTGCGGAAGGGGGAAGAGAATTGACCCGACTCGAACACTACAAAACTACTGACCAATTTAGTACTGAAAACTATTCTAGTAATTATCCCAGTTAAAACCATCAATTGCCATGTTTGATTACCGGACCTGTAATTTCGTTAGTATTCCATTGTCATTGTATCCCATGATCATCCTTGTTTATATAACCATTGAAATCCAATAAAAACCATATTAAATCACCATTATTTACCATTGGTAACCACTATAGTTCATCATTAAATTAATTATGAATCATGAACCATCGTTTACCCCCTTAATTCCATTATTGACACCAGTTAATCACCAGATGGTAACGATAGATTTGCTGAAATACATATATTTGCACATATTTACATGTATTTACACGAATATGTTAACATGTATTTAATACACATTTCCATATATACACATTTCCATCATAATTACATGTCAATATATCTTCAAAATACATATATATATATATACATACATATATATATATATATATATTCATTATAATTCACCATATGATGTCCTATGACTTTCCATAGATTTCCAGTGGTTTCTCACCCTTGGACCACCACCAGCTCCGTCAGGTGATGGAGGCAGAGCTCCGCGAGGTTCTCACGCCCACGCCCGAGCTACTGGAGCGCGCGCAACGTGCGCAGGTGCAGCTGGAGCTGGGCATTTTTTCGTGGAAAAATGTGGGTATGGATCAATAATACCTATTAATACCATTTTTAATGGGATGAACATCCATTTACCAGCTATTTTGATGTTCACCAGGGGTACAAGGTTTTGACACACTGCCATGTGGAAAGATTGACATTTTTGCAAGGGATTTCTGAGATGTTTGAGGCATTTTTCTGGAAACATGTGAAACAAATATTGAAAATGAAGACTTTTTGACGGATTTCTGAGATTTTTGGAGGGATTTCCTGGAAAAATGGCGAAAGATCACCATTTTTTTTTGACGGATTTCTGATGGATTCATCTTGTTGATGGTAAAAAAATCCCATTAGATCAGGATAATATTTTCTTCACTGTCCCATTGTGGTTGGTTATGACATGACTCCCAAGTTTGTTGGTGAAATCCAAAATTCTTGGTCAATCCTGTCAAATTTGTGTGGCCAATTTTCCACATATTTGGTTGTCCAATTCCTTCGTCAGGTTGCTTCATCCAGCCATTCCGAGCGGCACTCGCTGGGAAATCTCTTGGCGCAGAACCAACATTTGGCCGCGCGAGTTGGGAGACCTCAGGGGGTGGCAGCTGAGTGGCTGATCTTTGGTAAAAAAATGGAGGTACCCTCTGGTAAACTAACATAACTATGGAAAATCACCATTTATAGTGGATTTTCCCATGAAAAATTGTGATTTTCCATAGCTATGTTAAATTACCAGAGGGTATATGGAGGTATTTCTTCCTTGTCTTTGTGATCTCCCCATCATACACTATCCACATTGTTGCGGTTCAGATCCTCATTATGGTGAAATCCACATCTTGAAAGGTCAGTGGTAAATCTGGCAATAAGCATCGATAAGCAATAATATCAACAGAGACTGCTGTGGTTGGCATACTTCCGGATGCAGTTGCTGGAGTTGTTGAACCACCTGTCACTGACGAAGCTGATTGGTATGGGCACAAACTGCCTTCCCGTTATGACCCGAAAGCGATTGCAATTTCAGCAGTAAGAGTTCAAGAGTCGATGTTGGAGGCTGCGTAAGACGGTCTCTGACACCATGAGCTCTTCCGCTTCTGACGGCAGAAAAGTTTTTCATCCATTTATTGTTCTTGATCCATATGATCAGTCAGTAAACAACTATTACTAATTCATATTCACAATAATTATATATATATACTCTTTTTTATTTTCACGGATGATCCACCATCGAACGGGAGATGTTTTGGTTAATCCTCATTGATCCTCATCAATCCTGGACTAAAGATATCCAGAGTTCGATGATGTCTTGAACGTGATATCATAGCCAACAGTTTTCATGACATATACCCTCTGGTAATTTAACATAGCTATTGAAAATCACCATTTTATAGCTGGGAAAATCCACTATGAATGGCCATTTTCAATAGCTATGTGAGTCATTACCACAGGGTACCATCATCAAACAACATATCATTGGATTGGTTTAAGGGAAAATTTACAGGAAACCATGGTTTTTACCATTAAATATGGGGGTTTCCTGTAAATTTTCCCCTAAACGAATCCATTGAATATACCTTAAATGTTCAAGTACGGTAGATAGTTTTGTCTGATCTCTTCCTCATAGTTTCCAGGTTTCGGAAGTTTTTGGCACTTTGGGGGGTGCTAAACCCTTCTTATCCATTGAATCCCTGTGAAATATCCATGAAACCACCGCCAAATCACCATTAGTTCCCCAGAAAAAGTCTCCATATGTCTCCATGATATCAATATTCATTCAAATTAATTCCGAGAATATTCCGTAAATCCATATGGGACTTTGATCATTTAATATCTTACCAACAGGATTTAATTATATAATTTAATGTTAGTAGTCCTCATGAATCAGTTGATATCTCACTTTGGGGGATGCAGTTCCACTTATAATCGATATATTAAAGATTATTAAAGTAACCATACTCCTAGGGGCCCCATATATCCCAACAAACCTGGGATTAACTATGGCTATATCCATCAAAGTAGCTTCAACGTCATACGATTTCCATGCCTCAGATCCCCAAATAATCATAGTGGAGTTATATCCCAACTTATTGCAGCTAGAAAATTATAGGGGCCCCCATATCCCAGCATGAAATAACATAACCATATAGTTACCATAGTCATATGGGTTTGTCTGAAAATAGTGTACCCCTACACCCAATGGTTTTGCTGATCATTATCCCTACTAAATGGCTATTTCATTGGGGGTATACCCTATTTTCAGACAAACCCATATCATATCCTATTCATATCCCATCCAGCCACGGAGTCCCCTAGGCCGGCCTCAGCTCCTGGGGAGAATGTACGTGGCGCCCCACAGGGCCACCCGACGAGAACGGCACTGCGCAGTCAGGCTCTGAATCCCATGGGAATTCCCAATGGACCATGGGATTCTGATCATTTTCCATATCATTTTCCTATAAACATGGCATACTGGTTCTGAAGTGATGATGAATGATGGTTAATAATGGGGTTAATGATGGTTAATGATGGTTAATGATGATTAATGATGATTAATAATGATTAATGATGATTAATATCAATGATTAATGATGGTTAATGATGGGGTTAATAATGGTGGTTAATCCCATGGATACTGATGGGTGGATAATGGTGGTTCATAGTGGTTAATAATGGTTAATGAGACACTCTGGTTGGTGGTTTGGAACATGAATTTAATGACTTTCCATATATTTGGAATAATCATCCCAACTGACGAACTCATATTTTTCAGAGGGGTTGAAACCACCAACCAGATGATGAACATATGGCGACTTAACTGCGTATCCCATATATATTTTCAGAGAAACCCACATGATGACTCTTAACCAAGCAAAAATGGAAGCTAAACACGCCATATTTTTGTGGATTTGATGAAGACAAAATAGGGATGGAACTGATTTAACCGTTTAACCATCAAAAATTGTGATTTGACCATCATCAATTGGGGTTTAACCAACTAACAGTGGTTCAAACCGCGAGCGGGATTAAGTTTCGGAACGCCACTGTTGAAGAGGAAGGTAGTTGGAGAATATGAATGACACTATTTTATGATAATTATAGTTATATATTAATATTTTATGCTGAGTAATTACTGTAATGTCTCTTGCGCTTTTTGGTTTTATTCATGCCCCTTCATCATCCTTCATCTAGGTCTAGGCGATTTATTTCATCCTTCCATCTCCAAAAGTGATCCCAGGTTATCCCAGGTATGTACTCCAAAAATCATTCAACTAAGATCAACTAAGCTTGAAGCAAGATTCACATTATATAATATCTTCCCCCAACTACTAAACCACCCCCACCCCAAAATGATAAATACCTGGAGGAGTTTTTGGTATTAGGGGGTATTTAGTATTAGGGCGCGAAGCGTCCCCCTAATACTAAATTAAAAACCCTATAATATTAAAAAACTAACTTTTTCTATTTCAAAATCGATAAAATATTGCCAAAAATTGGATTCCGAAGCTTTCACGTAATATTAAGCTAAAAACTATATAATATATATATATATACATATACATATTTCCACCTTAAAAGACGGACCCTAATGAAAAACAACCCGGGTTGACCAGCAAATTATTAGGGGGTGAAACCCTGAAATGGGACCTTAATTTTTAATTTGTTTTCGAAAAGGGATCAACTAAGAATGAAATTGGCCAGTCTGAAATTTCCCAAAATTCAACGCAGACCCTAGTTTTTAGATGTTTTTAGTATTTGGGGTACGTTTAGTGAAAGGAGGTGGGGATAAATAATATCTCCCAAGATATCTCCCAACATATCTTTCCAATACCTAAGTATCACAACATGTATCTACATTTTATCATCAATGCCATTTGCTAATCAACCATGGCAATTGAAAATCCTACGTATATAGATTGAGGTTTTAAAGGGAACATGATCTATAAATGATGGATGTTCCATTGCTCAGAGTGTATGAACCAATATCCCATTCATATTCCATTCATCTTCCATTCATATTCCATTCATATTCTATTCATCTTCCATTCTATACGCTTTGCACCGCCAATTTTGTTCCCCATTTTCCCATGTTAAAGCACGTGCATTTTGGAGTGAAATCCCATTAACTCCAATGAACTCCCCGTAAAATCCCATTAAGTTTCAACTGAATCCCATCAAATCCCCATTCAATTCCATTAAATCCCATTGAATCCCAATGAAAATGTCCTTGAAATCATCATAAATCTCCATAAAATCATCATAAATCATCATAAAATCCCTTGAAGTCATCACAAATCTCCACGAAATCATCATAAATTCCCTTGAAATCATCACAAATCTCCATGAAATCATCATAAATCATCATAAAATCCCTTGAAGTCATCACAAATCTCCACGAAATCATCATAAATTCCCTTGAAATCATCACAAATCTCCATGAAATCATCATAAATCATCATAAAATCCCTTGAAGTCATCACAAATCTCCACGAAATCATCATAAATTCCCTTGAAATCATCACAAATCTCCATGAAATCATCATAAATCATCATAAAATCCCTTGAAGTCATCACAAATCTCCACGAAATCATCATAAATTCCCTTGAAATCATCACAAATCTCCATGAAATCATCATAAATCATCATAAAATCCCTTGAAGTCATCACAAATCTCCACGAAATCATCATAAATTCCCTTGAAATCATCACAAATCTCCATGAAATCATCATAAATCATCATAAAATCCCTTGAAGTCATCACAAATCTCCACGAAATCATCATAAATTCCCTTGAAATCATCACAAATCTCCATGAAATCATCATAAATCATCATAAAATCCCTTGAAGTCATCACAAATCTCCACGAAATCATCATAAATTCCCTTGAAATCATCACAAATCTCCATGAAATCATCATAAATCATCATAAAATCCCTTGAAGTCATCACAAATCTCCACGAAATCATCATAAATTCCCTTGAAATCATCACAAATCTCCATGAAATCATCATAAATCATCATAAAATCCCTTGAAGTCATCACAAATCTCCACGAAATCATCATAAATTCCCTTGAAATCAGCAGAAATCTCCATGACATCATCATAAATCATCATAAAATCCCTTGAAGTCATCACAAATCTCCACGAAATCATCATAAATTCCCTTGAAATCAGCAGAAATCTCCATGACATCACAACCGCTCGTGTCATCTCCCCTCCGGTGGAGCGTGCTGTCCCTCTCGGCGTAGGACGCCGCGGCGTTGCCGCGGCGCGGGCGACGCAGCGCTGCGCAGGTCCAGAGGCACCCTGGGGGTCTGAAGTGATGATTACCCTCCAGTAAACTAACGTAGCTATGGAGAATGGACCATTTATGAATGATTTACCTATTAAAAATGGTGATTTCCAAATGATGATTAATGATGATTAATGATGGTTAATGATGGTTTATATTGGTGGATAATGGTGGTTAATCCCATGGATACTGATGGGTGGAGAATGGTTAATAATAATTAATTAGAGATATCTGGTTGGTGGTTTGGCACCATGGAATGGATTATGACTTTCCATATATTGGGAATGTCATCACCCCAGATGGGTTGAAACCACCAACCAGAAAAAATGGGTACCTAAGAACAAACATGGATACCTCAAGTTCTTAAGGGGTTCGTACCGGCTTAGTTTTCTGTTTTTTTTACAGTTGGTTGATGATGAATCCCATCGATTGTTCAGGTTTTAAGCGTCATTTATAGGGGACATAATTGAGAGAATGGTTGATGATTGTGGGGAATATGAATATGTAGGGGAATGATCTAAGCATCAATGATAGGGTTTTATGTGGCGGAAAATTGTGTAACATGTATCAAAGCTATAGATAAATAATTGACGAATGATGGTTGGTTGATGATCAACTATCAACAACATGGATTTATAGGGGTTTAAACTTAGAACCATCTATTGGTGGTATAATCTGATTTAATAGATAAACGATGGTTGGTTGATGACTAGAACTGATAGAAGTCACGGTTGAAACACCAATCAACATATGGCGATAAAAGTGGACACAACTGATAAATGATGGCTGATGGAGGGATAACCACGAAATATGGGCTTGAAACATCAACAATATGGTGATATAAGTGAACATCAATGATACATGAATAATATATATAAATGATGGTGGGTTGATGATGAGTTTGGGGTTCTCCACCATCGAAACGGAGGACAGGGTGGCTTTTGACTCACTTGCCGCATGGGAAGTTTCCCATGATCAAAACGAACATTTCATGGGTATATCGTGGGATGTACAGCAAATCACTGCAACTTGAGTTGAATTTACCATGGGATTTACCCTCTGGTAAACATACAAAAAACTATGGAACATCACTATTTTGAATGGGTAAATCCACTATTTCGACTGGGCCATTTTCAATAGCTATGTTAGTTTACCAGAGGGTACCATTCATTATGACATTGTCATGGGATGTGTTTCCTGGTATAGAGGATGGTCATCAATCCATTGAAAGGGATTTATAATGATTTATACTCTGTAAGGAATCCCAAACGCAAAGCTGGAATGACCGTAACCCATGTACCATGTTCTGACCATGTCACATCATATAGACATGGATCTGTCAAAAAATGGCTAGCTGGCTATACTGTATACCCCCAAATCTTATGGTTGTTCAATGTTTCTACTATGTTTTTTGACTAAATTTAAGCAACTCTAACATTTTGGACAAACCCGATGCCCAATGTTGGCCCAATTCAGCAAGTCTGTACTGGAAATTGAGTGGATTTTGGGGCCTATCGGCCTATCACAAACCATTTTGCTGGTTGACACATTTTGCTGTTTGTTGGATATCATCAATTTCCTCCTCAACATTGCCATTCTTGCCATTCTTATTGGGGTCATTTCTTATCTTTGTTACATTTTGTTACTAGGACGAGGCTGGATTTTCTGGATTTTCGGGCAAATTCACATTCAAAAGTATTCAAAAAAAACACGATTTGTCCCATTGAAGGGATGTTCTCGCAACATGTTCAACCTGGGATGCGCCAAACGCTGCTCGAAAAAGGTCGACTTCTACAGTGGCTGGGAGCACCGCAGTTCGCCTCACTGGCACTTTCGCAGCTCAAGCGTCTTGGACGCGAGAAGTGGGAGGTCACATCTTCCCAGGGACAATCAGGGGTTGGTAACTGTCCCATTTTGGGTATATTGGACATCACCTGATAGTAGCCATTATAGACCATATACCTAATGGTTGGGTGATGTTCAATGGGGACATTTAATGACCCATGACAATTGGATTTTCAGGTTCTCTCAGAAAGAATTGACACCAACTATAAAAATTGGTTGTCTCAGATCATGAATAATATATAATATCATTGATTATTATATATTGACACCAACTATATATGAACAAAATTGCGATAAAAATACACAGGCAGGCAAATTGAGGATTAAAGCTGGCATCAAGAATAGGGATTCTTCACATGATGATTTCAACCAATGGTTAGAGACTTGGTGTTTCCCCGGTCATTTTGGAGGGAGATATGACAAGTACAATATATAATAATAATATGTAATAATACTAATAAATAATAACAATAATAATAATAAATAATAATAATAATAAATAATATATAATAATAATATGTAATACTAATAATAATAAATAATAATAAAAAAAAGAATAATAATAATGATAATATTATATATATATATTATCGGGTATAAAAACCACGCAGCTTGCGGGGAGTTGTTATCGGATATAACCAACTATATCATGTGCGGTTGTTCCAGAATAGAGGACAAGCCCAATTTGTCAAATAGTTAGTTTTAAGTTTTAATCCTTTGGACTTTGGGGTACAGCATTTTCAGACAAACTTAGTTCAGTTGAAATGGAGTGGAGCTCAAGGAAAGATACCAACATATTCCAAGTGCAAGACTGTTCGTCTAGTACTCAATTCTGCAATATTGAATATTGGTATTCTTGTAAACTACATCATTTTGGGGTTTGTACTCAGATTTAGATTTGCCACATTAGGAACTTCTTATGCAATAGGGCGACTATGGAACACTATCTTTACAAGCCACCTGTTGCGAACAAAAAGGAGGCCCCTCCTTCGATTAGATGGTGATCATGCTTAGTATGTTCCCAGTACGTGGGGTTATCTCATTGATCAGGGGACACCAATTGGCAAACTAATCAGGGGACACCAATTGGCAAACTAATCAGGGGACACCAATTGGCATATATATATATATATATTGATGTATTTTGTGAGATGTCAATCCATTTTGGTCATCGGTTGATTTTCTAGGGCCAATCATGCGGCTGTGTGTATCATAAAATTGATTGATACATATTTGATCATATTTGGTAATTATGTTTTTAGATTTTTTTTTAGATAGTTCTGATCATCTACAAATTGATTAAATGGAACATAATTATTGATCTATGAGATATTGATCGGAACTATCTAAAAGACATTGATTTTGTTTTTTCCATATCTACATATTGATTATTGCTCTATGAGATATGGAGATCCAGACACTTAAAGGGCCAAAGGTTTTTGGATGTTTTGTGACCTCTGATGGATACTTCATATGTATTGATGCGCATTTTTATTTACCCTCTGGTAAACTAACATAACTATGGAAAATCACCATTTTTAATGGGAAAATCCACTATAAATGGTGATTTTCCATAGCTATGTTAAATTACCAGAGGGTATTTATTATGTTTGATCCGAAGTTGATTTTCAAATGGGCAATCATGCGACGTCCAGTGTATGACATGCACTGGGATGTCATTTTCCAGGCCATGGAGAAAGAGGCTGAGATGGCTTCAGCACCAGCTGTGGATGAATGGAAGGATTTGGTCGCATTGCCAGACGGCTTGGATTTGAAGAAGCTCTGTGAAGCCGCTGAGAACGGAGAGCATGTGGAGGATGGAGCTCCAGCACGGTTGGTTTCCACTCTTCGTCAGGCATTGGCAGCTGCTCCAGACCACTCACCTGTGACCATCTTCGACAAGATCTGGCGTCTTCTGATGTACTTGAGGTACTGGCACGGTGGCCAGGACCAGCATTGGATAAAAAACCCGAGGGCTTCCCGGAAAGCGGCCTCAACTATGCACTGGTACAGGCGTCTTGGACTGCATTGATTGGAGTTAAATGGCATTAACTGGAGTTAATGTTCATTGTTCCTCACATGTTGTCAATTTGTCCCATCGATTTCGAGACATCTGAAATTTAATACCAAAATATACCAAAATGCTAAAGAATCCCTGGACGGATGACCATACCTGGTTACTGGTTTGGAACATGTTTTATTTTTCCATATATTGGGAAGAATTATCCCAACTGACGAACTCCATCATTTTTCAGAGGGGTAGGTATACCACCAACCAGCCATCAAATTAATCAATGATTAACCATCATCAACCACCATTAACCACTATTAACCACTACTAATCACCATTTTCCTATGGTTTTCCTATGGTTTTCCCATGAAATGTCACGCGCTACGTGACTAGTGACTCTCGAGGTCCTCGCTACGGTGGAAAGGCTGTCTCGACGAAGTCCTCCAGGACAGGGGGGAAAGGTTCGAAGTGCTCAAGTTGTTGCAGTATTGTATTTTTTTATATCGGGTATATATATATATATATACCCATAAGATCCATGTATGGTATATATGCTAACATTTGGGGTATATTAATGGTAAATGTTACCATATATGGCATACATGGATCCTATGGGATATAATATATATATATATATATATAAATCCCTTCACCCTATTACTAAAACGCCCACCCTCGCCCTCCGAATGGTGAACATGGCGATATATTTTTACTATTTAGGGATATTTTATATTAGCGACCTACATTGCTTTAGTATGTATGTAAAACTTTTTTTTCTGTTTCAAAATCGATCAAGTTCCTTCTTAAAACCTAATTAAAATATTGCCAAACATTGGATTTCGAAGGTTCCCCTAACATTAAGTTAAAAACCGTATTTAACAAACAACTATTTCAAAATCAATTAAATTCCTTTGTAAATCTAATTAATAGAATGGGCTAGCGCCCGGGTGCCGCCGACCCCCATTCCTGTCGGGGTTGGACAAGAGGAAGGAAGATGTAATCATACCTTGACCCTCCCTTGACAAGAGTTTTCTAGGCGTTCAGTGAGTTCAAGCGTTTTGATTTTTTTCATGTCGTTCATGTTGTTTCAACAGAAATCCATGCGAGATTCCAAGAAACATATCGAGGCATTTGGAGAATGATAATCTTTGGGAGACCCAACATGGTAACCCAAGTTCATCCATAAACCTCCCGCCGCTGTGAGCACACAAACTGGTCGTGCTCATCATCATCATCATCATCATCATCATCATCATCATCATCATCATCATCTCCGCATTTAGCCAGGGAACCCAGCAGCAGCAAACTTGTTTTCATCAGCCCTGATTTGCAAGAAACTGTTATTTATATCGGCCAAGAACTTTTTGTATGGTACGAATGGAAAGTTGGTATCCTGCTATGCCACTATGACAGCTTCGTGAAGTAGCACTGCAGACACCAATAAAATCTTCATCTGTCCAGCAACTGCTGGCCAAAATGTTGAGAGCGTATGCATCGCCAAGTTTTAGGGTTTCAAGAAGTTCCATGTACATATGGAGCTTGGGTCTGATCTTGAACATAAACAAGCCTCTGGCTGTTGTGGAACCTGCTAGTTTACAAAAGCCTTGAACAAAGTACTGCCCCGCCAACACCAAGTCATGTCGTTGTAAACCTCAGCACCTCCAGCTCAATGTCGCCATGTAAGTCCTGAAGGAAGCCTCTACATACCATTTAAAAATGGGTGATCCTAAGTGATCCTACATACCCCAATTTCAGGCACACGAATACGGGGACTAGTCTGTATGAACCATAATTTTGTTTTTGTTAAGCACCCGCAGTCCTGTGAGTCCAAGAAATGTCCAAGCCAGCTATTGATTCTGGGAAGTCGTTGTTGCTAGCCATGCCCAGAACATACTTTTTGTCCCAGGGTCTGCATGCAGTGACCTTCCCGTTGGCAGTGCGCCATTCCATATAGTTGCTATATGCGGACTCGAGTCTTTTTTCTAATGACCGATCATCTCCAAATAGACCCTTATTGCTGCACATCACAATGCCACTTGCCACAAAGCTCACACCCATACCCTCGGTATGAAAAGTATGGGCAACATCTGGATGGATCATTTGAAGGCTGGGGGTTTGAAGGCACTTTAGGCATTTGAAGGCTGGCAAACGGCAGGCTTGAACGCCCTAACAACAGATGGCTATGGAGGCAAACGGCAGGCTTGAACGCTCTAACAACAAATTTTTGCCTGAGGCCAGAGTGCCTGGTCGAAGCTGCCGCGAAGCATTTTGGGGGTTGGAAGGCTGGTCAAAGCTGCCGCGGAGCATTTTAGGCATTTGAAGCCTGGCAAACGGCAGGCTTGAACGCCCTAACAACAGATGGCTATGCAGGCAAACGGCAGGCTGGAACGCTCTAACAACAAATGCCTGTGACCAGAGTGCCTGGCCCAAGCTGCCGCGAAGCACGTTGGGGGTTGGAAGGCTGGTCGAAGCTGCCGCGGAGCATTTTAGGCATTTGAAGGCTGGCAAACGGCAGGCTTGAACGCCCTAACAACAGATGGCTATGGAGGCAAACGGCAGGCTTGATGCCTCTAACAACGAACGCCTGTGGCCAGAGTGCCTGATCGAAGCTGCCGCGAAGCATTTGAGGCATTTGAAGCCGACAAAAACAAGTTCCACACCTGCGGTGGTCCCAGGCGCCGCCCCAGCGAAGGCCGGGGTCGGCAGATGAAACTATTTCCAATAGTCGCATTTCGAAGGTTCGCCACGTATTATAGGACCCTAATAATAAAAATCAGGTGTGATATTTTTTTGAATATGGGGTAAAAACCACTATTTCACCATCCTGTCCTCCCATTGATTCTTAATTACCACAACTAAGAAGGCAATTATAAGCAACCAAAAAAAAGAGAAAGTGCCAATCCACTCATTTATATTAATTAGGGGAGTTTTTGTAATGGGGAGAAGATATTATTTACACGTAATAGTAATATATTATATATATATACAAACATACATATGTACACTTGTACGGATTTAATATACATATTTACGTACATGCGCATCAACAAAGAGGTAGATATATTGGAAAGATAGATCGAGGCATGGATGATGAGATAGGTGACTAGAAACATGGATATAGAGATACATCATAGAAAGTTTGAAAACAACACATGATTTTCGGGGAACATCATCAATAGCATCCAGAACCACTGCATATGTTGAATTTTTACATATGGTGTATGCACACATTAATCTGGTTGGTGGTTTGGAACATGAATTTTATGCTTTCCATATTGTATGGGAGTGTCATCATCCCAACTGACGAACTCATGTTTTTCAGAGGGGTAGGTATACCACCAACCAGTAATGTATATGACATATGCGTCATTGGCTATACACTCATTATCTCCAACAGTTGGAATTATGGGTTCCCTGAGAAGTATGGGCGAACTGCGGTGTCCCCGCATAGTGGTGGTTTCGGGTTTTCTCTACCGCGCTGGACACATTTCTAGGTCCAAAAAATCAAATCGTAGCTTTACTGGTGAAACAACCACCAGAATTATGGTTTTTACCCATCGATTTCCAGGAGGATTCCCCCAGCTCCGCCGCCGCTGGGTGACCCGGACCTGGACCCGGGCCACGAGAGTGAGGTGCTCCGACTGGATAGCAAAGGTTATGATTGGGTTATGGTGATTCTCCATTTATCTATGCTGGTTATGTAGTTTAATCCCGTTTTTCTATTGCTGATGGAAAATAACGAGAACCAGCAAAAGATGATGTGTTTGTACCGAAGATTGACCAGGTTATAGGGGTTTATCATGGTTTATCCGCAACAACACTGGAGATTCAACTATCGAAATAGGGATTTGACCAATATAGCCGAAGAGATCCAACAAATGAACATAGAGCCTGGAGACAACTGATAAACCTCTGGTAATGTGTCACATAACTCTAGAAAACCACCATTTAAAATACAGAACATCATCGAACTGAATCGGGGCCGTTTTCCAAAGCGATGTTTAAAAAATCACCAGATGGTAGGGGTTATTATGTTTAGTTAACTCACAGGGAGTTAACATCATATTTTGGCGGAGCGAACATGCATATTTATCAGCTATTTTGGTGTGAGCAGAGAGGTACCCAGAAAAAAACTCTGTCAAAAAGTAGCTTCCGCCACGCTTAAACACCATGGCAGTGAATGTGGCCCGTGCCGGCGGCTCTGATGGCTGGGGTCGACGGATATCACTACCAGTTTGTTTGTGCAGCTGGGTCCTCAAAATTGTTCATTCCTTCTTGTTGAGATGATGCCACGTGGTTCATCTTTTCTGGGATTGAAAGCAATAAGCAGATGGAATATCTCATGTTAGTCTCAGGATGTCTTTTTCTCAAGTTTTTGAGGCTTGTAGAGAAAGACTTGTGACTCTCGCTGCATGATTGCCCTGGTGCAACAGTGGTCCACACATCTGGCTCCAGACATCGAGAAACTGCGAGAAGAACCTCAACATGCTCACCCGCCTGGTCCCGGTTTCAGGCAACTTGCCTTCCTCTCAACAGTTCTGCAGACGAGCCGCGGCGGATGCACAGTCAGCACCCGCCAGCACTAGGTGAATCTGGATCTTCACTGTGTGGCCATCGCGGATTTTATCAAACTTGGAACTTCAAGCCAGCAGGATGTCAACCAGCTTTGACAGATATTCACAGTGGATGCACCAAGTGCACAGCAGAAACTTGTGGGTCAAAGTCCCCCAGAATGATTAACCATCAAAATTGGAATACTGTAGTTCTATTTTCGGACAAAGCAAGAAACATTTTTGCGTTCGTTGGAATCCTCACTTTGCTCGCTTCAAATTCCGATGGTGCTTGCAGACTTCAATAGATATGGCTGGTGGGTGGTTGCAAAAAAGGATTCAAGTTTCCATCCCCAGATGCTCCATCTCTGGAATTTTGGCCGATATTTGTACCAAACAAAATTGCACAATCTTACCATATATATATATCCATATATGCAGCATATAAGATCCATAAAGTGTGTTTGTCTGGAGATAGGGTACCCCTAATCCATTGGCCAATCATTTTCCCAATTAGAATGGCAATTTCGAGATATATATCTTCCATTTTCAGACAAGCCCTAAATAGCATTCGGTTGGCTATCTCCCCATCGATATCTAAGTTTGATATCCCATGAATATCGCCTAATAGATCCCAGATTTTATTGGTTTAAATCCACATGTTTGTTGGTTAGATCATTTTAAAGCCTCGGTTTGGTGAAATTCAGCCGTGGATTTTTGCCAGGCTTTGCCTATCAGTAGCAAGGCGGTGGAAGAGACTCGACAGGCGTGACAATGGGGGTAGTATACCCCCAGGTTATTGTCATTTTAATCTATTTTCATGGGGAAAACGATGGGGAAAACGTATATCCCCCGGTTACATAGATTGGATCTGACCACGGCTAGGGAAAAACCCAAGTTATTGTCATTTTCATGGGGCAAAATGTTACGCTTCATCCTTGCCCCGGCAGCCTGTTTCAAGTCAATTTGTTTCACTGCTTGAAACGGTGGAAGCCTTTGGCTACAAAGAGATATATATATAATATATATATATATATAATATATATATATAATATATATAATATATATAATATATATATAATATATATATACACATACTAATGAGATCTAATGAGCTAGAGTTTCATGTTTTTTGCAAACTATCCAAGAATGGCTGCGGAAAGAAGAGTGGTAGCTACACATTTCGCAGAGCCATTCTGGCTAAATACTGCTAAATGATAAATTGATCCAGCAAAATTCAGCAGGGTTTCGATTGTGGGTATTTTTTTTTGATGATATGCGCATTACTATTCTCATGATATCCCCAAGAGTTTGGGTTATATTGTCATAATATGACAATATTTATAGCCATGTTACTGTAGCTTGTATTTCCATGACTGTTACCATGATAATTGTTGGTATTCCCATGATGAAATTGTTGGTTATAATGAAGGCATATCATGATATTCCGTCATAATGAAGCTGTATTTCCCCATCAATTCTCAATGAAGTACTATGCCAATATTTTCATTCTATCTCATTATATTGATTTTAACATTGTAGGTCTTCAATTTCATGGGGGTATGAGCGGTATGATGGACATATATATATATATATTATATATATATATATCATGGGTTCATTTCCAATGACTATTCCCATGATATTTTCATGAAATATATCTTATATACCATACATGATATATATATATATATACATATGATATAGTATATCATATGTAGTATATAACATGTATTCCCATCATATATTTCCATCTATGATTCCCTATGAATCCCCCAACAATTCGCTGCGAGTCGTTAGGCCGTTCTGGGAGCCAAAGAGCTGGTCTCTGCAGGGTGAGCTTGGGCATGGCTTTGCTGATTGATTATGTGTGGTGACATCTATATGGTTAGTAGTGGTTGGCTGGTGGTTTGGAACATTTTTTATTTTTCCATAATATGTGGGATAATCCATCCCAACTGACTCATATTTTTCGGAGGGGTTCAAATCACCATCCAGTTAATAGTGGTTTAATGGTGGTTTAATAGTGGTTTAATAGTGGTTTATAATGGTTAACTATGGTAAAAAAGGGGGGTTCCATAAATGGGGATACCCAATAGCTGGATGGTTTATAAGTTATAAGGGAAAATCCGATCTAGAAATGGATGATGACTAGGGGCACGCCTATTTCAGGAAATCTCCATATATAATCATATATATATATATACATATTGCAATGCAATAATATTTGTATTTAAATGTATGTAACCATGTCACATGTCACTAATTTAAATCTAGGTTTTGTTTGTATTACATTGTATACGGTATATATATATATATGTGTTTGTGATTGGTTATACCATCTGGTTATTTAACATAGCCATGGAACCACCACACTAGTTTAATCACATGTTCAACCACGCAAAATGGATGTTTAGAGTCAATCTACCATCTGGTTATGACTAACAGTTTGCCATGGAACATCACCATGCTATTAATAGGTAAACCATCTAGAAATGGACCATTTTCCATGGCTATGTTAAATAACCAGAGGGTATGTACTACGTCTACATTCTTTGTGACAGAGAAAACAGGATTTTACACCAGTGGAATGTGGCCATGGTGATACACGGGAGTGTCACAGACGGCGGTTTTGGTTTCCTCATGTTGAATGGTTATTTGATGGTATTTATAATGAATGTAATATGATGAATAAATGTATGTATGTATGTATATAATGCATGGCTCTTTTACATTCCTCATGCATGTCTGTATGAATGTAATGTGTTGTGATGTAATGTGATGTAATGTAATGCATGTATGTATATATTTATTTAGGAGTATCATGCTTTTTTGCATCTACATAATTGAATATTTTTGTACACATGCACATGTGTAGTTCAATAGGTCTATATCTAGCCACATCATACATAGACATACATCATTTTAGTGGTATATATATTTCATATAATATATACACATATATGTATGATAGACAGATCGATGGATTAGATAAAGTAGATAGAGTAGATAAAATAGATAAAGTAGATAAAGTAGATAGGGTAGGTAGGTAGGTAGGAAAATAGATCGATAGATAGTTGGATCGGACTGGATTGGATTAGTTTGTTAGATAAATTTATTTTAATTATAGCTCATATATAGATGATATAGATCCAACAATTGGATTGTCAGATAGATAAGTTTCATTATTGGATATCATTTGGGATCTATTCCATTGTTATTGATATATATATATATAGATATCTAAGATTTACGATATCCCTACTACATCTGGCCTTACCTGGTACAGTACCTCCATTTTAGGATCGCGAAATGGCCATTTATGGAAACCTCCATATCCCGTTATCCCTATATTCCTGATATTCAAAAACCGGAATCATATTCCATTGATGTTCCATTAATGTGGGTAAAAACAATTTCATAAACCATCCCCCAAGTCACAATTTTTTTTATAGGTGTTATGTTTACCATTCCCAATCATGGGTGGTTTATGGCATTGTTTTACCCACATTCGTGTTCATTTTCACGGGTGACTACTCTCTTTTTATCTCTTTTTCATTTGCATACAAACGTATGCATACATACACATGTTTCAATACGAACAAATGTTGGTATCCCAACATCGTAGGGATAAGAACTCCCATATATATTATATTATATTATACTATATTATATTATATTAAATGATATTATATTATATTATATTGTATTATATTTTATTATATTGTATTATATTATATTATATTATATTCTGTTATATTATATTATATTATATTATATTATATGATTTGATATGATATGATATGAGATGAGATGAGATGAGATGATATTATATTATATTATATTATAATATAATATATTATATTGAATATATATTGAATATATCCCATATATATATATATATTCCATATTATCCCATATAGATCCACTTTTTCATTGTCGTTTATAGACAACCCTAGAGTAGGCTTTTTGGTCAGGGCCACCATGGCGCTTCCGCGTGGCGTCAGCTCCGTCCTCCGCCACGCCTTGCGCAGCCTGGAGGGCGATTTCACCGGGAGAATGGGGTGATTTCATCAACAAAAACGTGGAGTTTTCCTCCTGATTTAACCAACACATGTGGAAAACATGGTGATTTCACCAACCAAATCACCAAACGCCATTGGATTTGAACTATGAATGGTGAAATCACCCAAAGACTGGTGGTTAACTATGATTTTTTGTTTTTTAACCAAGGAATGTGGACATTTTGCCATGACAACTTGGGAGTTCATGGGGATTGGAGGATTTCTTTGATGACCATGAAACCTTAATGGTCCAGTCATGTAACTATACTATGGATATACGTGGAGAGATACATAACCATTATCAACCACAGTATGTTTTGGATATAGAGTACCCCCAAAAGATTGAGACACAGTTGTAATATCCCACTGACAGTGGGAAAATTAACATGTTCTGTCTCTGTGGGTTACATCGAATTACCACAATTTTAATCCGAATTGCTACAATTTTAACCAATTTTCAGATTTCAGTCTTAACCAATATCAACCAATATCAACCAATATCAATTGCCATAGAACTTGGGAAAATGAATGATCAACCAGTTTATCCACCAGAGATGTCGTTGCCGAATTCAAGATGAAAAATTCACCGGCGTTCCAGATGGGGTCGTGTAATTCAGACTTTGAAGAGGGAAATGACATTGAAATTACGATCTATGATGCCGGTGATTTATAATGACTTGGGGTGATTTATAACTTGAGGTGATTTATAATTTGGTGATTATTTAACTTGGGGTGATTTATAATAACTTGGGGTACCTGATCTTCAAACAGAACAGTTCTTGAGCATTCCGGTGGTTGGCTTCACGCAATTTTCCCACAGAGTTGGCAGGACTTGCCAATGTCCTCAGTTGTCGACGCCGTTGTCGAAGCTTTTCCAAAGCCAGCTGCAATGGTCAGTAAGATAGATAGGATAGATAGGATTAGAAAGGTAAACAAACCATATCAATGAATGGGTCAATCTATATATTAGAATTTGACCGTGAAGACTCTTGCATCCCAGTGCTAGGTATGGTTGCTCAATCTGCCTGAGAGCCGACAGATGAGAGCTATTGAGAGCTTTCAAAAAAATCTGGGCACAAAGAAAGCTGGTTGGTGGTTTCAAACATTTTTTATTGTCCATTTCATATATGGGATGTCATCCTTCCCATTGGCCATTGACGAACTCATATTTTTCAGAGGGGTAGGTATACCACCAACCAGAAAGGCACTTGGGTCCACAAGGCGCTTGAATATGTCCGCCTCAAATCTCTATGGCAAAATATGGGTCTCCAAAACATGTGACATGTGTCCGAACAAATCAAACATTAGATAAACCTCAAATAGCTGATATCCTGAAGCTATTTCCAAAATATCAACTCAAATGTGGGTAAATTTCGACTCTTCCGAAGCATTAGATTTTCTGCGATCGCTTTCTTTGAGCCTGATATCTTGGTCTCCGAAGGAGAAAGTTTTCAGCAACAGATGGATGCCGGGCATGTGGTGTCTTGCCATGGCCATAGTAATAGTGTGTGATTTGCACATATATTCGGTTCATAATTTCACTATAATTTCATGTACTGTAACCTATAAATAACGAACAGGATATTCTGTTCTATGTAAAGCACTTCACACTTCCACCCTGATATCAACATGATTGTATATGTATATATATATATACACATGTGTATATTGGATACCAGCCTGACAACCCTGGTTCAGTACTGGATCTCTTCATTTGGTCGGCCCTTGAAAAAAGGGGGCGTATTAGAAGTGATAAATTGGGATGTATCCTACAAGATCAAGCGGTGTAACCAACAGGAACCGAGACTTGAGACACAATCATTTGGGAGGGACATAGGTTTTTCATGGGTTTTTCAGCAGTTGTGGACTGGAATCAATTACAGGTTTGATATGGTTTAATATAGGTTTGACCAAAAATCGGAGAATGTCAGTTTCAATGCTTCAATGAAGCAAATGTTTCACACCATGGGGTTTTGGGGTATATACATTTTTTTCATAAATACCAATCTCAGGGTCTGTTGAGAAGCAACACCTGCAAAGTATTCAGCTCGTGGTTGAGCTGTGTCAAATCTCGAACAGATAGAGGACAGTCCGGTGGACGCCTTCCCCTGTTTTGCTAGGCCTCCACTTGAAGTCACTTGAATTGTGGTTGTTTTTAGTTTCTTCCGGTGCGGACTTTGATGAAATCACACCTGTTTCGAGGTGGCAACGCATGGCACGAATCCGACCTGTTGCGACGTGTTCCGGCAGGATTCGTCTCACCATAGGATGGAAATCAGCGCGTTTACCCACTGGTGAACTAACATAGCAATGGAAAATGGCCATTTATAGTGGATTTTCCCATGAAAAATGGTGATTTTCCATTGCTATGTTAGTTTACCAGAGGGTACAAGAAAAATTAGGAAACCAGGTGAGTGGTGTGGCTGCAAAAAATGGTTCTTGATCTCTCAGAATTTCAGCAGGTAATTTCATGTAATTTCCCCATCCTCCAAAGCTCCAATCACGTTGAATTTCCCCAAAATGGTCCCCAAAATGAATGGGGCCACTGCTAGAATGTTGGTCTGAAAAATGATCATTTGTTGTTAAATGCTTCTTCAAATCATTTGTATATCCCAACAAATGTCCCATTCAACCCCCGCTCTATTCCCATGATTCCTATTCTCTTCCAGGTCGTACTCAGATCTCCAGGCTTTACCCCACCCCGTTTTTTCACCACGCGTAGGTCTTTTTTGAGGAAGGCATCGAGTGGGTGAAACTGGCGAAAGGTGCCAAGGCCTATCGCAGCCGCAGCAAAGGAGAGCAGGCACCACGGGGACGGCGATCATCCACAGCGATGACCCATAGAAAATCATAGAAATCGAGAATAAACGACGGAGAAACCCATAGAAATAGATAAAACAATATATGATATATGTATATATCTATAATAATGTATATATAATATAATATATAATATATAATATATAATATATATATAATAATATATATATATATATATTATATATATATATACAAAAAGGATGATTTACCTTGGTAGAACTGTGATTTTCCATCATGTCTTTCCCATCAGATGGGATAAAATCTGCAGAAATTCCCTGTATTTCAGGGCTATGCAACTTGCTGATTTCGCCAAAAAAACAATAGAGTTTTTTTGTAATGAAAATACAAGAATATGGGAGTATACTGATATGTATGATATCTAGTGGGAAATTCTAATTAAAAAGTTGGTCGTTTGATGGCAATTTAACCACCAATTGGAACAGAATAACGGGAATCTAGTATCATATAATATAATCTAGTATATAATACATATGATATAATATTTGTCCCCATCATATAATGGAATACAATGGACATCCTTTTTTCTACACAATGAGACACGCCAAGAATCATTACGCTATCTTCACACATGAGCGTGTACGAAGATGGACTGGGTCAACCTTGGAGCATGGTCAGTTTCATCCCCTATTCTTGAGAATGTATTTTGCTTAGATGCTTAGATGGAAAGATGGACACATGGACAGATAGATAGATAGATAGATAGATAGATAGATAGATAGATAGATAGATAGATAGATTAGATAGATAGATAGATAGATAGATAGATAGATAGATAGATAGATAGATAGATAGATAGATAGATAGATAGATAGATAGATAGATAGATAGATAGATAGAGCGACATATAGATAGAGATAGATAGAGATAGATAGAGATAGATCGAGATAGATAGAGATAGATAGAGATAGATATAGATAGATAGATAGATAGATAGAGATAGATAGATAGATAGAGATAGATAGATAGATAGATAGATAGATAGATAGATAGATATAGATAGATAGATAGATAGATAGATATAGATAGATAGATAGATAGATATAGATAGATAGATAGATAGAGATAGATATAGATAGATAGATAGATAGATAGATAGATAGAGATAGATAGATAGATAGATAGATAGAGAGATAGAGAGATAGACAGATAGACAGATAGAGAGATAGAGATAGATAGCGATAGAGAGATAGATAGATAGAGATAAATAGAGATAGATAGAGATAGATAGATCGATAGATAGATAGATAGATAGAGATAGATAGAGATAGATATAGATAGATATAGATAGATTGAGATAGATAGATTGATGGACAGATAAATAGATAGATAGAGAGATAGAGAGATAGAGAGATAGGTAGATAGATAGATAGAGATAGATAGAGATAGATAGATATAGATAGAGATAGATAGAGATAGATAGAGATAGATAGATAGATAGATAGATAGATCGATAGATAGATAAAGATAGATAGAGATAGATAGAAATAGATCGAGATAGATAGGGATAGATAGATATAGATATAGATAGATATAGATAGATATAGAAAGATATAGATAGATAGATAGATAGATAGGTAGATAGATAGATAGATAGCTAGATAAATAGATAGATAGATAGAAAGATAGAGAGATAGAAATATATATATATATATCTAGATAGATAGATAGATCGATAGATAGATAGATAGATCGATAGATAGATAGATCGATAGCTAGATAGGTAGATAGATGGATAGATAGATAGAGAGATAGAGAGATAGAGATAGAGATAGATATAGATATAGATAGATATTGATAGATAGATAGATAGAGATAGATATAGATATAGATAGATATAGATTCGATTAGATTGTCATAGATAGATAAATAAATAGAAAGATAGATGGATAGATGTCTAGATGGCTAGGTGGCTGGATGGATTCATGGATAGATCATTATATAGATTCTAGCATTATATATATATATTATGATTATGTATATATATATATATATGTATGTATGTATGTACTATAGATATATTGGTTAACTGGCCATGGGTTGAGGTGTCGCTGAATTTGCGCGAAGATGGCTTCGTGGCAACGGCGCGGGGGATGGCGGTTGGTCGGCGCATGGCTGACGCGAAGTGGCGGGAAACGGAAGACCGTGGTTGGTCCATAGGACTTCCAATGATGGTTTATGACAATCCACAATCTACACGTATCTAAATTTATATCTATCTCTATCTCTGTCTCTGTCTCTATATCTATCTGTCTGTCTGTCTATCTATCTGTCTATCTATCTGTCTATCTATCCTATCCTATCCAATCCATCTATCTATCGATCTATCTATAGATATTTATTTCTATTGGGTAGTATAACCACCTACAATCATCAGCCAACAGGGGTTTAGCAACCACCGTTCAGTTTTTTGGCTTCATGTGTTTTTTTTGGCTTCATGTGGCCAAGCACCGCTTGGTGGAGATGGCCCTGGGGGATCAACATCTGATCAAGCCAGTGGTTAATATATTGGGTTTATATCAAAATGGTGGTGGATAATGGTGGTTAATAGTGGTTAATAGTGTTTATTGTTTAATGAGATATGTGGTTGGTGGCTTGGAACATGAATTTTATTTTCCACAATATATTGGAATAATCATCCCAACTGGACTTTCATATGTTTCAGAGGGGTTGAAACCACCAACCAGATATAGTTGGCAGTCTGTGACAATTTGTTTCAGCATTGTTTCCATTAATAGTTGATACCCCATAGTTTTGCATAAACTGATATAAACTGCCAACTATTAAGGGAAACAATGCTGATAAACAACGGGATTAGGGGTTCTATGTTCAGACAGGCCCATATGTATTCCCACGACTAGAACATAGGAATGTGGGATATCAACCCAGTTACAATCCCACACACTGAGTCTTTAACATATAAGTGATTAGTTTTTGGGTGAGTTCCCCCAACCTGTTTTTTGATAACCCCAGGACGATCACAGCTGGGTATCCACGTCAAGTCATAAACCAGTGTATTACTATGTATTACTTCAGATCCCTCAATCATCCTGATGTGGATACCAGAAAACCATAGAAAACCAACGTCAAGTGGTTCAAAATCATCATGGATCCATTTTTGGATCTCGTTGCGAGGTGGTGCCGCAGGGACAACAGTTGCGGAAGCAATCGGCGGCCGGGACCTCAGTGAA